ATGCAGAAGAGTCCTGGGGAGGGAGCTGGCAGCCCTATCCCTGCGTGGGGGGGGGGGGGGACCCCAGGAGTCCCCCATGTCCTTCCAGCACGGTTGGCTTGCCTACTGGTTCCAGTGACCCCTCTCGCTGGTCCTGATGGAGAAGGCACGGCCGCCCCTGGATGAGGGATGAGGGTGCCCAAAGCTTTTCCCGGGTGGCTTGGGGACACCTCCAGCCCCCCCCCCGCCCCCCCCGAGGGATCAGTGGGGCTCCACGGAGCCCCTGAGCACCCCAACAACATCCCGCTCCGCCGCGGACCACCCTACAGCAACCACACCTGCATCGTTACAGGGCTGCGCTAATTAATGAGCCCTGGAGTTTCCTGGGTCTGTTTTTTTTTTTTTGGGGGGGGTGGGAGGGGGGGGTGGCGGGCCCTGCAGCGGCCCCATGGCACCGTGCCCCCCCCCCTGCAATGTCAGCGGTCCTTGGAGCCCACAGCAAGGTCTACAGGGCTGGGGGGAGCCCGGCTCAACTGATCCCAGTTTTAGCAAGATCTGCAGGGCTGGGGCATCTCCCTCTCGCCCCGTTTTGGGGTGCTGCTCCCCCCCCCCCCCCCATGCTTCCTATTCACCCCCCTCTTCTCTTTCTCCCCCCCCCTCAGGTGTGCCGGGCCTCCCGGGTCCCCGCGGCCTCAAGGGTGACGTGGGTGTCAAGGGCCCCCCAGGAAGCGAAGGAGAGAAGGGCGACGCGGGCAGCCTGGGCTCACCGGGACCCCAGGGCCCCCCCGGCCCACCCGGCCCCCCCGGCCCCCAGGGTGAAAGGGGTCCCCTGGGTTTGAAAGGCTTCCCCGGCCTCAAGGGTGCCAAGGGCAGCTTCGGGCAATCCGGCTCCCGGGGACAAGGGGGACCCAAGGGAGACCCCGGCCCCCCAGGGCCAACTGGGGGGCCAGGACCAGTGGGCCCCCCCGGCCCGCAGGGCAAACCGGGACCCCCCGGGACCCCCGGGGCTGTGGGTCAGGCTGGTGCGATGGGACCCAAAGGAGACCCCGGTTTGCGGGGCCCCCCGGGGCTGCCGGGTCCGCCTGGCCCCCCAGGACAGTAACCCAGCCTGCTGCCAGCCGGGGCACTGGGGACAGGGGGGGGGGTCCCCACTGCCAACCCCCCCCCCCCCCTCCCCTCCTGCCCCCCCTGGACCCCCAGAGCGTTCCCCGCAGAGCTGTGAGGCTGAGCCTCGCAGGACGGGGTGGGGGGGGCAGAGGGGTCCCAGTTCCCCCCCCCCACAGTGTGAGGGTCCGGGGCTGGTCCCCGGCTTGGCCACCCCCCAACACTGGGGTGGGGGGGTCCCCGCAGGACGGGGTGCAACTGGTTTGTTGCCCTTCCCCCCCCCCCCCCCCCCCCAACCTCCAGCCACGTTTTTGTGTGTGTGTGTGTCCCCCAACCTCGCGCTGTCCCCCCCCCCCCCCAAATGTACTCCCAGCACAATAAAGCTGTATGGGGACAGGCAGCTCCTCTACTGGGAACACTGGGGCGGGGGGAGCACCCCGACAGTGACGGGGTGCAAGGGGTGGGGGAAGCGTGTTGCACCCGCGTGTGCAAAGGGGTCACACCCCGGGGTGACCCTGCTGCTGGGAGAGGGGGGACACATGACACCCCCACCCCCCCCCCCCCCCCCCCCCCCCCCACGCCCACCGGGAAGGTGCGTTGCTGTTGTTTCGTGCCTCAGTTTCCCAAACCAGGCTGCCCCCAGCACCGTGCCCTGCCCCGGGGGCACAGGATCCGCCCGCTCGGGCGGTTTTATTGCTGTTGGCAAAGCGGTTTCCTGTTTTCCTCGCAGAAACAGCCCTGGGTTGGTTATTAAAACGGGCGAACGCGGCCCCGGGGCCCCTGATTTGGAGCTGCCAGGGCCAGAGAGGCCGCACGGGAAGGGGGGGTGGGGGGTGGGGGGGTGGTGGTAGTTTGGGGTGGTGTTGGGGGAAGCAGAGACCCAACAACTCATTACACAGATGGGGCACAGGCTGCCAGGCGAGGGCTGGGGTTGTGCTCTTGGGGGGGTCTGAGCACCAAAAGAGGGGGACCCCAGTCCTGCGCTGGTGACAAGGGACGCGGTAAAAACTGGGTGCTGGGTGGGACACGGGCACCCCATAAAGGGGACCTGGGTGCTGGGAAGGTGGGTGCCCACCCGCCGGAGCCCACCACCGCTCCGTGCCTCAGTTTCCCCGCCTTTCAACTAAGCAGGACCTGGCCACGCTGTAACTTCCCCCCCCCCCCCCCCCAAAAATCCACTCTTTCCCAATTTTCTGTGGAAAACTGGCCGCGGAGCAGCTGGGCCCGTGTTTGTGGCCGGGCGGCCGCCGGGCCTGAGAAAAATGTGCAAGGGCAGGATTTTCCCCCCGAACCCGCCCCGAGCTGGGTTTTCCGGGCGGTGGCGAGGGTGGGCGGTGGGATTTCAGAGCTGGGAGCGAAAAAGATTCGTAAATAAACGAGGAAGGGAGGAAAGGAAAGGGCGGGTGGGACGTGCTGGCGGCCGCCCAGGGGTTGTTCTTGGCTGGGGACATGCGGGCTCAGGGATGTTGGTGCAGAGGGTGCTGGGGACAGACGGACAGCCAGGGACAGGGTGCTGGGGACAGACGGACAGTCAGGGACAGGGTGCTGGGGACAGACGGACACACACTGCCCCACAGCCACACACAGGGTGCTGGGGACAGACGGACCCAGGGACAGCCCCGAAGACAGCCACCCAGAGGGTGCTGGAGACACACGGACAGCCAGGGACAGGGTGCTGGGGACACACAACCCCACAGACAGTCCCACACAGGCTGCTGGGGACACACGGACACATGGACAGCCCCACAGCCACACACAGGGTGCTGGGGACACACGGACAGCCAGGGACAGGCTGTTGGGGACACACAACCCTACTGACAGTCCCACACAGGCTACTGGGGACACACGGACAGCCCCACAGACAGCCACACACAGGGTCATGGGGACACACAGACAGCCCCACAGACAGCCACACACAGGGTGTTGGGGACACACAGACAGCCACACACAGGGTGCTGGGGACACACAGACAGCCAGGGACAGGCTGCTGGGGACACACAACCCTACAGTCACACACAGGGTGCTGGGGACACACAGACAGCCCCACAGACAGCCACACACAGGGTGTTGGGGACACACAGCCCCACAGACAAGTGCACACAGGGTGCTGGGGACGCCTGGACCCACGGAGAGCCACCCAGAGGGTGCTGGGGACACAGGACAGCCCCACGGACAGGGGACACACAGAGCCACACACAGGCTGCTGGGGACAGATGGACACACACTGCCCCACAGCCACACACAGGGTGCTGGGGACAGACGGACCCAGGGACAGCTCCGAGGACAGCCACCCAGAGGGTGCTGGGGACACACGGGCAGCCAGGGACAGGCTGCTGGGGACACACGGACAGGCATGCACAGGTTGTTGGGGACAGACGGACACACACTGCCCCACAGCCACACACAGGGTGCTGGGGACACAGGAAGAGCCCCACGGACAGGGGACAGACAGAGCCTCACACAGGGTGCTGGGGACACACGGACAACCAGGGACAGTGGTGCTGGGGACACACAACCCTACAGACAGTCACACAGATGGTGCTGGGGACACACAAGACACACGGACAGCCCCACAGACAGCCATGCACAGGGTGCTGAGGACACACGGACAGCCCCGCGGACAGGGGACAGACAGAGCCACACACAGGCTGCTGGGGACACATGGACACACACTGCTCCACAGCCACACACAGGGTGCTGGGGACAGACAGCCAGGCACAGGGTGCTGGGGACATACAACCCTACAGAGTCCCACACAGGCTGCTGGGGACACACGGACAGCCAGGGACAGGCTGCTGGGGACATGCCACCCCACAGACAGTCCCACACAGGGTGCTGGGGACACACAGCCAGCCAGGGACAGGCTGCTGGGGACACAACGCTACAGACAGTCCCATATAGTATAGGCTGCTGGGGACACACGGACAGCCAGGGACAGGGTGCTGGGGACACACCACCCCACAGACAGTCCCACACAGGGTGCTGGGGACACACGGCCAGCCAGGGACAGGCTGCTGGGGACACACAACGGTACAGACAGTCCCACACAGGGTGCTGGGGACACACGGCCAGCCAGGGACAGGCTGCTGGGGACACAACGCTACAGACAGTCCCATATAGGCTGCTGGGGACACATGGACAGCCAGGGACAGGGTGCTGGGGACACACCACCCCACAGACAGTCCCACACGGTGCTGGGGACACACGGACAGCCAGGGACAGGCTGCTGGGGACACACAACCCTACAGACAGTCCCACACAGGGTGCTGGGGACACACAGACAGCCAGGGACAGGCTGCTGGGGACACACGGACAGCCACCCCACAGACAGTCCCACACAGGGTGCTGGGGACACACGGCCAGCCAGGGACAGGCTGCTGGGGACACACAACTCTACAGACAGTCCCACACAGGGTGCTGGGGACACACGGCCAGCCAGGGACAGGCTGCTGGGGACACACAACCCTACAGACAGTCCCACACAGGGTGCTGGGGACACACGGCCAGCCAGGGAGCAGGACAGGCTGCTGGGGACACACAACCCTACAGACAGTCCCACACAGGGTGCTGGGGACACACGGACAGCCAGGGACAGGCTGCTGGGGCCACAGGGACCTCGCCCGCTGCCGGAGCCGCGGGGCGGGCGCCGCAGCCAAGCACAACAGTCAGCAGCCGCTCAGCACCAGCCCCGGCCAACACCCACGGCCCATGAAAGGGCCCATTAACGGCGGGAGGAGGGAGACGGGGTCCCCCCCACTCCTGGCTCGGGACCCCGGGGGAAGCGGGTAGATGCTGGGAAGCACATAAAATAAATTTCAAGTGCGTGAGACTTAATATTTCAGGTCGTGAAGGCACGCTTCCTATTTGCCTATCCCACCCCCCCCGCCCCAGTTCCTCAAAATCCACCCGGCAGCACGTTTTACCAGCACGGTATGAATTTAATCGTGACGTATATACAGGTGCTGCAAGGATTATCGCGACCGTTTCGCACAGACTCATCCCTGAAACCTTACAGAACTCTCAGGAAAAAGCTCTGGCCTGGCCAGGCTGCGCAAAATTCAACTCTTCTTCCCAAACTTCTCTCTCCGGAGAAGGTTTGCAAGGAAGAGCCCGGGAATCGAATGCAATTTAAAAAGAAAATAAACCGTGGGGTTATTCTCACTCTGTGCTAAAAGGCACATATTGCAGCCCGCGGTCACGCAGGCTGCAAAAGCCCAGCTCAGTCTTCATCATCCGTGGCTCTGTGTTTAACGAGGAGCCGCCAGATTTACTGCCAGCGAGGGCTGGGGAGGTTGGCCAAATTTACAGAGCACCCCTCCCCAAAAAAAAAACCAGCAGAGGGATCCCCCTCCCAGCTTTGCCAACCGCCGCCAGCACGGAGTCCTGCCGTGGGCAGCGTCGCGGTTTGTGTAGGCGCCGAGTTAACGGCAAACCCCCTCCCGCTGCCAGGGCACGATTTGGGTTCTTTTCTTTAAATCTCGGCGGGTTAAAAAAGCTACACCAAGCCCTTCCCTAGAATAAATAGCATTGTCTTTATAGAACTGAAAGTCAATTCTGCTTCCTTCCGCCCACGTCCCCGAAAAAAAAAAAAAAAAAAAAAGAGATGTACGTGCAGACATATAGATCTTCTCCCTCCAGAAGTTGTCCGTGGCACAGCGCTGGTCAGGCTGCTGAGAGAACCAACCAGGTTCTGAAGAAATGGGAGTCAGAGTTCGCTTTCTGGGGCGTTTTTGGGTTTTTGTTTTTGTTTTTTTTTTGGCATTCTTAGCGATGGTGACACATTAAGACATCCCAAACCACCTCATGATCGAGAGGAGAGACTTTATTTACATAAAGTCATCTGAATCGTTGCCATCCTGCGGGAAGAAAGTCAAATCAGGATCACTGTGCACGTTAAAACGGAAAATGGTGAAACGGTGCATTCGGCAGGATTTCCGAATTGCCATTTAATCTGGTTTCCTGCCATTTCGATACAAACACCGTGAAATCAGACCAGAGAGACGCACGACAGCAGCTCTGGAGCGGGAACAGCCCCGAGTGAAGCTCCCCGTTGCGAGACAGGGGTTGGTGTTTGCTGTCCCCCGCAAGGCATCGCTTCCCTGAAACTGCAGCCCGACTGCCGCGACCCGGGAGGAACCGGGGCCCGGGCTCACCCCACCCGTTATCGTGGAGCGTCTCCAGATCACCACCTGAGCTCCACTCGGGAGGAGGAAAGCAGCCTGGCACAATGTGGGGCGCTGAGAGGAGGAGATCTCCTGGCACAGCATTTCCACCGCGCCTCTCCCCGGCAAGCGGTCACTGAACGGGCACAGCCTGCCCGTCAGGAGACACTCATCCTTCAGCCCAGCTCGAGTTTCAAAGGGGACCCGCATGCCAGCCAGGAGGGAAATCAAGAATTCTTGAAAACCACGTGCTCCTCTAAGGAGTTAGTCAGGGGCTAGGATGCAAAAGGTGGAATTTTTTTTTTTTTTTTTTTTTTTTTCTTTTTTTTTTAAACTGAGGGTCACTGAGAGTTGCTCCAAGATCAGTTTCCTCTGGATCCCACCGCGGGGGAAGCTGCGGACGTGCCAGAGCTCAGGCAAAGCACAGGCGCACCCAGCGCACGCCAGGATCGATTCTGAACTTCAGCCCCCCCCCCCCCCCCCCCCCCCATCAACCCCCCTCCCGCCGGCTCCTCTCAGCTTTGGCTCCTTTCCCACCGTCAGACCTCAGCCATGCTCCGGTCCCGGGGTTGACAGCTGGCAGCAAATCCCTTCAAGCTTCCTCTCCTGCCCCTCAGCACCTACCTTCATCCCTCCCAAACTGTTATCCGGACACCTCGGGTTTCTTTCTTAATTTTATTTTCCCCCCCACTTTGAAGGGACAAGGCGGCATACGCAGGTCGTGGTACCATCAGGGAGACCTCCTCCGCTCGTGAGCCAGACAGCTCACGAGGAGAGTCAAGCCTGGCGCCCCACTTCAAGCTCTACCCCGTTCTTTCACTTGGATGGGAAGGGAACTGGGACGTTTTCCAGCAGCACAGGCTGCTCCCGGCTGACACACACGCAACAGGGCCCTCTCGGAAAGCAGCAGTGTCCTTCACCGAGAAGCGGCGACGGAGATTTGCTCTGTCATGCAGGAGTCACCAGAACCAGGCTGCAATGCGGGAGCTCTACCGTCACACGGTCCCGCATTGAATTTCAGCCGCCTCGGAAAGGTTTCTGTGGGCAATCTTACCTGATTGGAGGACATGTTCTCAGCCTTCATTAACGACGAGTAGCTCCTGGAAGGGAAATTACATTACCTTGCACGATATGTTTTCAAAACCCACCAACAGAGAGGCGTTTTGATAGAACGGGACCAAGTACCAGAAAAACAAACAATTTTTTTTTTTTTTTTTCCTTTCTGAACTCAGGCAGACTGGACCAGTATTTGCTTACCTCATACTCTTTGCCTAATTAAAACAACCAGACAAAGCCCAGGCACTATGCAGCCTCCTCCGCATTTTTGTTCTGGAACTACCAGCTAGATCATCCCGGGAGGTAGAAAATCCTTTACTTTGGGGGACGGCCAAGAGGCAGCTCTGGGGCAAGGTTAAATAAGCAGGCAGGCCTCTTTCTCTGCAGCACAGGCGTGCCTGCTGGTGACTTCTCCTCAGTTTAGTTTGCTTCTCTAAGCTCTCCTTTCTGAGCTCTCCATGTGTTGAATCACTTTGGAAATCCCGGAGTTATTTCAAATTCCGGTTTCACTGTCATTTACAGATAAACACGACTTACTAAAGCTTAAAAGCGAGCTTTTGGAGCCAGCCAGTGGACACATCCAGTGCTGTACGGGGCCGTCCGTACTAGGGAACAAGCTCACACAGGCTGCAACACGGACAGAAAGGTCACCGTGACCTTTCAAAACACCATCCCTCAAATCTGTGTTTAAAGGAGCGTGCGACTGAGGATTCACCCGTTTTAGTTACCATCAGTGATGCGAGAGGAAGCTGAAAAAAATCAGGGAAGGCTCCCTGCTTTCCCAGGCTCGTGCAAAGCTGGAACCAATCTCTCCCCTCCCAATGACAGAGCGAGCCAAGCGGCTTGCCCGCTTTCACCCAAGTTAGGGACAGGTTTAAAAAGACACAGTCCTTTTAAACAAGGGTTTAACATCCAGGTTTATTTACGAGAAAGGGGGAAAACGCATTTATTCTAAAAACAAAAGGAAATCATTGGGCCATGCAGACATCTGTGCCAGAGCAGGTCAGCTGAACACTGAGCAACGCCAGGCCAGCTATGAAACAGAAACTGCTGACCCATGGCTCCTTCCCAGCCCCGACGAAAACTGCAGAAGTTACAAGTTGGCACTACAATTTCTTACTTACCGAAGTTCTTCCAGCTCTTTCTTCTTCTTCATCTCTTCTTTTTCCTTCCGCTTCATCTCTTGGATCTGGGCTTTTTTCTCATTTCTCTCCTCTCTGTCCCGGGCTTCCTTCTCAGCAGCCAGGTCTGGGAAGCGCTCCACTTTTGTCTTCTCTAGCCGGTTCAGGATCTCGTTCACCTTCTTCTCCACTGTCAGCATTTTCACCTTTGGAGTGCAAAAAACTGTGATCCTTATAAAAAAATACTTTTACTCTGGCACTTTCTCAGCGGAAAGAAAACACCCTATTTCCACTTTACACATGGCTGAATCCCACAAAAACAGATGCTAAGGGAAATCACTGCCACCGAGGCCTATTCAGCAGGTTGTGTAACAGCAAATAAGAGGCCCACTCCCAACACTCAGAAGCACATAGCTAAGAAGCATAAGCATTGCTAAGTACATAAGCATTCCTAATTTCATTTCTTGGCACATGCCTCAACAAAGAGGCCAAGAGGCAGGGACCAGTCCCTGCCAGTTCCCGAGGAGGTGGCAGGAGGTCTCTGCAGACCGTTTTGGGAAGAGAAGCTCACGTGCTGCTTGTTGACTGCAGGGTTTTTAGCATTTCTTGCCCTGGTACAGACCTGGTTTAGTCAAACAACTGCACCTCTAGTGAGCCTTTTCTCCCAGCAGCCATAACTACAGCGTAAGCATCACATTAGCTGCAAACACTGGGTGAGGCTTGGGAATAGCTTAGTACACCGGCTTGACCCTGCACCAAAGCTAAACAGCTCTGCCTTTTAACTGATTTAACAAATTCAGAGGCAGCACCAGGGGGAGAGCTCTCGGAGCAGAGAGCGCGGAGCAAAGCAGCGACAGACACCTCCAGGACCCTCCTTTGCAGAGCAAGTTCAAGCGCTGAGCCCTTCCAGGCGTGCGATTACACTACTGCCGGTGAGCTGATCCAAAGCGACTGCTCATACGCAGGCTCTTCGGCTGTAGTAAGAGACGATTTCAGTGGAGATAAATTCAAACAGATAGCACAGACTTAACCCGTGATACCACTCGGCGTCAGCGAAGACTCCTCAGCCACGCTGTGCCGCAGTGTGGAAACACAGGCTGTGCAGGCTGGCGATCAACCACGGATTTACAGGTGATGTTCAGGGAAATCCAAACACGCTCCCAGGATTTCTCTTATGCCTCACGAGTGGATGATTCCCTGGCTTTCGGGCAAATGCTGAAGGCAATCTACCCAGCTCCTAACAGGGAAACGTTACAGTCTGCCACCAGGTCACCCTCCCTGGCTTGCAGCAAACACTTACATCCTTCTGCCTGTGAAAGCCGATCTGCCCCACGTCCATGTCGGCAGTCTTCTTCAGGTTCGTCCACGGCGTGTACACCACGTTGACGTTGTTCATCTTGCAACCTGGGAAGCAGGGGAGAAGGGAGACGTTTCAATTCTCTCTCTGCTGAAAGAGGTCTTAAAGTTGTCCGTGCCCATGGAAACACTGGCAGTTACTTTTGTCACAAACATTACTAGCTAGGCAAGAGAGAAGAAAACAGAGAAGTCCTTCCAGTGTTACAGTGAAACGGAAGAACACCACGACATCATTTTCTGCAGTAACATGAGCGCTGCAGCAGTGCTAACGAACTCCAGATGGAGACCGTCTTTGCCAGAAGAGCAATTACTATGGAAGGGGGCCCCAAGGTGGTGGTAGAGAAGAGACTGCAAGGCCTCCTTGGCTCAGACAGCAATATGGAGGCATAAACGGGAATTTCAGAGATTTAAAATTCCTCCTTTCGGGCAGCTCCAGCAGCTGGAAGTGACATCTGCTTCCCCTAAGACCCGCAGGCACGGGCGCCCCAGCAGAAAGGTCACAAACGTCTGATCCCCCAAAACCCACAAGGCTCGTGTGGACCAGAAAGACTCACCACAAACACCTCACACATTACCTTGAATGCTATTTGCCTTCACTAGATGGGCACAGTCTATCAAAACTTCTTTAGGAATGTCGTCCACCGTCTGCCCCTGTGACAGAGCAAGGCAACGTGAGCGGCTCGTGGCGGGGCCGGAGGGATCGACGGGCACATGGAGGCCTGGAAGCTGGGCATGATGTTCTGCAAACACAGCCCGGACCTCTGCGTTCCACATTTTACAGGGCCGGAGCTTTCCGTGGCATTTGCAAGGAGAGGCTCAAAGCACCACAAGTGATTTGCACGCTGCTTTTCCCAAAGCTATTCTCCCCGTTTTAGCGGGGTGATGGTCCCTAGACACACGTTTGCTGTCAAGACATCAACTGTTCTGTTGGGTCACGTTAAACTGCCGGCTCCTCCCCACGTTATTTGGAAAGGGAGGCTGTAAATTCTGCCTCCCCACACGGATGGTTACCTCCACCCTTAGGGAGCCCTGCAGGCTTTCACGGTTCACGTGAGCAAAGATGGTCTCGTGCACGGGAATCGCTGCAGAAAGGTCACATGCAGTTCTTATACAGGTCAATATTAATGTTTTAAAATATACACGTCACAGGATTACCTTGTGCAACCGAAGGTACACATGTGCAGAAGAGAGCTTATCCACATGAAACCTACAGAGTGATAAAAAAAAGCACATTTAACAGAGGATGAGAGGTGGTGATCTGTCCTGAAAGATTTACTTCCTAACAAGTGACAGAACAGCCACTCCATGGATGACAAAAGTATTGAAATGTTCATGATATACACGTTTAAAAGCAGGCAAGGGAGTCAGAGCCTATCCTTCAAAAAACACCTGTCCTCTCAATGGCAGACTGAAAAAATAAGAACACTTTCCCCCTCTTTTTTTTCTTTTAAATGCTGTACTGCATGCAGGCAACACTCATAGGGTGCCTGCGCACGTGCTATTTTGGTCTATTTATTCTTAAGAGAAACAGCAAACTCCTGAACTCTGCAGCAGGCACTGCTACACCACTTACATGACTGGTCTCAACATCACAGAGTAAAAAAACCTCACAATTTCTCACTGGTCAGTACTAATGTTCCACGGAGCCCAGGGCTCTGCCTCCAACAGCGGGAGCAGGCGATGCTGCCGGGGAAGTGCACAGGATCTAGTGGGTTTAGTGGGTACCAGGCTGGATAGCACCTCCGTGTTCTCTGCCTCTAAGATTTCACAAGCCTCGGTCACCCCCCAGCCCCCTCCCCACCCGACTGAAGACGGCTTTCCTCCTCCCCAGTCCCCCCTCACAGCACAGCTGTTCATCTCCTCCATGGCTCCAGCTGCCCTTCTCCAGACCTTTTCTAACTTGCCTGTGTTTTTTACCACCATCACCTCTTTTTTAAGCCTCTGTCCTGATCAACACTCACTCCAACCCCGCAGACTTCCAAGGACAGAGGTGAGGAGCTGATCTCACGTCACCTCCCAACCTTTCTTACCACCATTTTCTTTTTAACATAATAGGACTTTGTCCTTCTTGTGGCAAGATAGAAGATGCTCCAGTACCAACACATGAAGTCTGACTTGTACCCCGAGCCTCCTGTTCCAATTTCACCAGACCCCTCTTAAACAGAAGTAAGCCTAAACAGTGCCAGACACCATTAGGAGAACAATTCTCAGGAGACCTCCACAAGAGGACCTGTGATATTTTGTGGAGATGACACTAGGATATGAAAAAAAAGAAACATGGGTGGTGTTGGTGTGAGCTACAAGATATGGAAGAGATGGGGAAGGATGACTTTCATGGTTCAGGGTATTAGAGGATGAATCTCAAGGTCATTTCTAAATGTAGACATACCTTAAATTATGTAGTGATAGGACAAACATGAGACAGAAAATGAATGTGATACTGCTACAACAAAGTGTTATTCAGCTGAAATACAATCTCTTCTGCTAGAAAAGAAAAAAATATTCCCTTGCCAGTTAGCTGACAGCTGACAAAACATCTTCTATGGAGCATGTTAGCTACTACCTATTCAACCTCCGGTTCTACCGAGACACCTCAGCCCATGCTGGCAAAGGCCACCTGGAAGAGCGAGAAGGGGCACAATCCATGTGGTGATTCTTGTTAGAAACTGCTAGCGAAGGAGAGGGCAGCAACAGTGATACATCTGGGCTGTACAATAGTACCCGAAAACAAGCAAACTCCTGCATAAAAATCTCAAAAATCAGTCTGGAAAGTTTACGGACTAATCTAGCCAGCAAAGATGACACAAATTGCTGCTAAAAGGATTGGGAACAACCCTTCCCTCATTTTTCTCTTCTGATGAGATCTTACAAGCCAAAACCAAGCCACACATGTCAGAGTGCTTCCTTCTGCCTGCTTGGCCACAGCTCTAATGGGTCTGCTTAGAGCAGAAACAGCTTTCCCCCATCAGGACTCAAAACAGCAAAATCCTCTGCTCCTGCTCACCCACTCCAAGGGCTGTTTTACAAGCCAGGCCACTACTTGCCCACAACACACACAGGAGTGACACGAGGCACACGCAGAGGAAAAGGCACTGGGAGAGGACAAGACAGTTTTCTTTAGGCACAGCGTTTACCGTTGCTCAGAAAACTTCTGGCTCTATCCCCAGGCCCTGTGTGACTGCCCCATGATTTCACACGTTTGTGTCCACTCTCCCTGTCTTCTGTTAGCCTTTTGGTTTTGCTGGTTTCTCTTGTCCTTGCATGGAGATGTTCAGGAGCTGCTCCTCTTGCTTGACTCAGAAGGTGCTCTCTCTTACAAACCCCAAGCTGCCCTTTTCTTTTAACTCCCCCTGTTTCCCAAACACAGTAAGAGCAACAGCAACACCTATATTCTGAAACACAAATATCCCTGTATGGAGTTATTGCTACTCCAGCAGCTCCACGTGCAGATAAACCCCCAAAAGTTTCACAAAAGGGGCCAGCTTCTATAATGAACAAAGCAGGGGGGTTGAGGGGGAGATGCAGGGGAATGAATTCAGAATCAGCAGGGTCCCACCAGCTGCACCAGGGTCTGCTGTGATCTACCTCCACACCAAGAATGCATTTAAACTGCTAAATGGCCTCAGAAAAAAAGAGACTCTACAGTGCCTGTGGAAGGGAGAGGGTTGTTAGGATCATTTGACTCAGCTGCATAACAAAAGGCAATTTGTTTCAGCGAGTTTCAAGACCTACCAGATATCTTCAGGCCAGCCATACTTTATTAGGTCTTCATCTGTAGGAATAAAAAGTATCGATGAGCAAAGCCCAGGACCCCATCAACAACAAATCCAACTACCTGTCAAGCAGGAACCCCCCGCAGTTGGTCGGCCACTGCATGGTGACTGAGCAGAAAGAGAAAAGGGCTTTAACGCGGCACCTGCCTGCTCCAGGTAGGGCAGAAACAGGTATGCCAGGAACAGCTCCAGCACATCGTTTTGGCATTTTAAAGTGAAAATGTGTTTCTTCAAATATCCATCTCACTGGGGGAGACTTTCAGGGCAAGGCTTCAACATAGCCACACTAACACTTTTCCCGTGGAGTGAGACACCTGGTTTCACATCAACGACTGATGTGGAAACCTGAGGAGCAGCAGAACTGTGACCTTCACCATGAGGGAAAGGATGGGCACAGGCAACCTAGAGAGTACAGCTGCTCACTGGAGAGGGGAAAAATACAGACTGAGGAGGGAAATGGAAGGTTGGTTTGCAAAAAGTTATCAAACACAACCTGAAAAGCAACATTTTTCTCTAGCTTTTTTTCAGTTAATTTAGTTTTCACTTGTATTTGAAGGCAGATACTCTGCCTAGCAGATTTACAAAATGTATTTATCCTGACTAAAAGTAACACTGGATTTCAGAGGGCTAAGTCAGAATCACTTGCAAGGGTGGAGAAGTTTTCAAACAATATATTGAATTAACACATACAAAGACATCCTTTCAAAATGACCTTAAATTCCCCAAAATCTAAATCCGAGCCAACTGGCATTGTTACATTAATGTACTTACTTTCGTACTTATCTTTTCCCATGTAAATGGTGTAAACGGAAGGAACAACTGAAGGATAGAAAGAGGAAAACAAATCAAAAGGGGTTCAGACAAACTGTGCAAGGAATGACAAACACACCAGTCTTGGACACAGAAATTAGAATGAAAATTGCTCCACCCACCCACTCCTCCCTCCCTCCCACTTTCCTCCTGAGGGTCAAAGGAGGATTATTTTGCATTTCCTCCAGGTTTTGTCCTGAATGCTTCAACAGACTTTGAAAAGTGGCATTTCTAGTGCTTCCCATGGAAGATGATCCAGCAAGGAACAGCTTTCTAGGCAGAACACCCTCTACATCCAGGTGGTTCAGACTGTTTCTGTGTAATTGTACAATCTCTTCAATTAAGCACATGTCCGTGAGCCAGAAAGGCTGACATTGTATTTACAGTCTGGGATTAACTCTCTGTGTGGCCTTGAGTGAAAACAGCTCATCTGCCTGGCCCTCGCTTCCCCAAAGTACCAGCAGTCCAACGTCAACCTCCCCCAGGTAGCCTGGGGGGATTAAAATTCACCAGACAACGGAAAGACACAAGTTCCATAAAGTCGTTTGTCTCATCTGTGCCTTTTTGGGCTACTTAAAACAACATCCTTCCCTTCTTTAGGGCTCATTCCATCAGGCAGTAAAGGCGCTGCCAATTCTGGGAAAGCAAATGAGTGTCCCTTCAGCATCTCGACTAAAGGCTGGCACAAGCTGGGAGATGGACACAGAGAGGGAAGAAGGTGCTGCAGTCAGGGAAGTTCTGTTGTAGAAACCACCAAGCAGCCTGCTAAAAAGAAAAATATAAATGCTCATGCATTTACAAGGCAGCAGAGAGATCCCAACGCTATCCAGCAGCTTGTCACATTTCTAGCTTCTACAGTTTTTAACAATTATCCTGTGTGCGAGCAAATGCTGCAGCCACAGCTACAAGTCTCAGTGCTGCACTGAAATTCAGCCGTTCTTCACGAGGCCGTACAGCACCTGAGGACTTCAGCATGAAGAATTAGTCAGAGCAGGTTTTCAGCAGACGGCTTCACACCCTTCGCAGCCAGTGGCTGGAACAACCTGCTGCAGCAACACAGGTTTGCCTTTTTCCTACACTGTCGCAGAACAAACAGAACTCACAGCAGGATTTCTAAAGTCACTCACTGATAGTGCACAAATTAAAGACGAAGAGCAAATCAATGAAACGCAGGTCACCAAATCTGCCTCCAAAAAGCACCTTTTGAAAAGACGGCGTCTAACTTCCTATTTTCAAAGTCACTAAAACACTTCACTTACATGCTACAACTCTGGCAGTGAAAGGACTGGGATCCCAAACTGCTTAATGACTCGGTTCTTTCTGAGGGCATTTTTATTAGAAATCCAACATCACTAGCACAAAGCCCAGACAACACTTTTCAGTTTAGTAATGATGTAATAAGAAATGGAAATTCAAAAATATGAAAGGATTATATGCCCATGGAAGATAAAGATTGGAAAAAATCCACCCTGGAAGCACAGGAGAGTCCAGAGAATTTGAGATCATCATGACTACAGGCACCACTCATAAGCGTAAAATTAAATACTCAAAGTTGCATTAGTGATGGTTCTGTGAAAATGAAGCCTGTCCTGCCAAAACAGTAGGGGAACACTAACACAACCAAGCAGGAGCTTACTTCCAACCTACACAATTTAACACATTTTAGGCAAACTGCAACCGTCTTCTTGCTGTAGACCTCTCTCCAGCAGCACAGTTGATTATAACATGTTATAAACCCTCTGAAAAATTGCAATTTAAAACCAGAGGAGATTGTTCCCATCGTTAGCAGAGTTAACTGCGGTTTGTCTGCTCCTAGGACCTGCCAAGTTACCCTACATGTCTGCCAGGCACTGTACCAGGCTCTTTTCTCCCCAAAAAAAGGCCCACATCTAGGGAAGTCTCTCAACGTCTCACCGGCAGCCTGCTGATCGGCAGAAAATGTTTCCATCCGAGTGTCAGATTAAGCAATCAACACAGTTCAGGGTACCTGTTCGCTGTGTGTGGAAAGGGCCTGACTTTCCACCACAGAGAAAAAGAAGTTTTTAAACAAGTCCCAAGAACATATTTATTTATGAAACAGTCACAAGACTACTTGTTCAAGGAAAATCAAGCAGACAGGCACTCAAATCCTTCCCATCTAGGAAGCTCATCTCTAGAAGCGAGGAAAACGAGGCTATAAAATACTAGCTTACGGATACAGTGAGTAAGGGATAAAAACCATGGGGAAACTTTCCCAAGCAAGTTATACGTTGGTGAAATGACTGGTGGCAAGCCAAAAAAGTAATACTCCTGCACTGTCCTCCATATCGTCAGCTCATATTGCATCAAACCACAGATCTGATGCTTCCGAAGTGGCTGACTTTTCCGTACAGGCCAAAGAAAGAGATCTGTCTCTATTAAAGGAAAAATAATGAGCGGGTTTACGCCTTATGCCTTCCCCCAAACTCCCGACAGCCGTACACTTGAGAAAGCTTTTCAGAAGTCGCTTTCCGGTACTGCTATTTACTCAAGGCTGTTAACAACCACTGCTGAGAGACTCCTCAGCCCGGCGAACCCCGCAGCTGCTGAAATTACTTCAAGCTGTAGCCGATTTCGGCCTAAACCGGCTCCTTTACACTCAGCCCAGCTCAGGGGCTCGCAAAAAAAAGGCGCCGAAAGGGACTAAGAAGGGTGCTCAGGGGAGGATGTGCCCCCCTCGCTGAGGAACCGGGCAGGGGCGCGGCCCAACGCTCCCCTCACAGACAGCTCCCTCGCGGCTCCGCGCGGGCGCTGAGGCCTCCCGCCTCTCTCCCCTCCCTCACTCACCGGTGGAGGTGAAGTAAAACACCATGGCGGCAGCTCCTCGGCCCGCCCGACCCGGGGCTCCGCACCGGCGGCCGCGCTCCCGCTGCCGCAGCGCCTGGCGACAGGCGGTCGGGAAGGAGCAGGGCGCATGCGCGTGAGGGGGTGGCGCATGCGCATGAAGGGGTGGCGCATGCGCATGAGGGGGTGGCGCATGCGGAGTGCCGCGCGGGCGCGCTGTCCCTCCCTCTACGCATGCGGCAACTCGCCGGGCGAGGAAGCCAGAAAGAGCGATGCGCATGCGCACCATTCCCGGGGAAGGGTGCCGGGAGAGGGGGGGAGCCCGGCGCATGCGCACAGTGGAGTGCCAGCACCACTGAGGGGTAAGGCGCATGTGCAAGGCTGCAGTGCGGCCTCCCTCCCCTTCTCCCCCCCCCCCCCCCCCCCCCCCCCCCCCCCGTGTACGCATGCGCAAAGCTCATACAGCTCTTTGCGAGGATAGGATGGGACGGAGGCTCCGGATCCGGATCGAATGTTTATTTTTTTCTCTTTATTGGCGCGACTTCCGCCTGCCTTCCCCTCCTCACCGGCGTTTCACCGAGGGAAGCGGTTTTTATAAATTAAATTATAAATTTATAAATTAAGATTTCCCCCTTTCCCTTCGCCTTGCTGCACGGACTACAACTCCCATCAGTGACCGCGCGCCCCCACCGCCGCTGGGCGGTGCTATGCTCGCGAGGCACGCTGGGAGTTGGAGTCTTCGGGAGGGGAGGGGGGGTATAACGCTCTCTGCCGTCTGATTGGCTTGGGAAGCGGGTGGGGCGGGTGCGAAGCGTCGCGCCGCAGTTAAGCCAATGTGGTGAAAGACCGGCGAGTGACGGGGCGCTCGGCCAATGGGAAGAGGAGGGTGGGCGGAGGGGGCTAGAAGGCGCGCGGGTTGGAAGGCGCGGGAGGGTCGGTGGCCGAGATGGCGCTGAGGTGAGGGAGTGGGGCTGGGGGGAGCGGGGCTGGGAGAGGGGCTGGGGGCTCAGGGGTGCTCAGATGGAGGGTTTGGTGTCGGGTTTGCCTGAGGGGGCCGGGTGTCAGGGCCGGGGGGGGGTTCCGAGGCGCCCGTGTGGGCCGAGTCGGGGGGTTCGTTGTGTGGGCTTGGCGGGGGACTGTGGGGTCTTGGGCTGGGGGTTTGGGGCGATGCTGAGGTGGTCTAGGCCCCACATACCGGTGTAGGTGGGGTGGGAGGGGGCAGCGTGGGGCTGGGCCTTGGCGCCGGGTTAAGTGCGGGGAGGGGGGCGCTGGGGGGGGTGTGGGGCGCTTTGGTGAGGTCCTGGAGGGGGGGGGGGTGAGGTGTGGGGTGCTGGAGTAAGGGGTTGATGCCCCAGCGGGCTGGCTGTGGGGTGCTGGGCTGAAGGTCTGATGCCACCCTGAGGTGCAAGGCTTCTGGGGGGAGGGGCTGGCTGGGGAACTGGACTGTGAACTTTTGGGGAAGGGGCGTGGGTGGCTGGGGCCCGGCTGTGGAGAGCTGCCTGTGGGATCCTCGGGTTAATAGTGCGATCTGTAAGGATTGCGTAAGGGCTGCTCCCCCCACGTCCACACCTTCGCTTTCCTGCCAACGGTGTCTCCTTGTCTTATCTTCTCCTTTTCATCCGCACCTGATATCTTATTTCCCCGCTACCCGCAGGCTTGTTCTTGTTGCCCTGTGCTTCTGAGGCTTTGCCTGCCCCTTCTTGAAGTTCCCCTCTGCCAGCACTGCTCTGTGCTGAGGTTGTGTGTCTCCTGCTGCAGCTACCCACCTCCTGGCTCCAATCCTCTGCCACCGCTTGTGTCCTTTGGTGTTCCCGGGCTTGGCAACAGCTCGTTGTGTCTGGGCTGTCATCAGTCAGCGCTTCCTCAAGATCAGCGATGCGTGAACGCGGGCAGGTTAGGAGGAACTTCCCCCTGCTGGCAGATTGTTGAATAAATTATTATTTCTAGCAGTTTGTGAATATTTCTTACTAGTCCTCTCGGGTACAGGATATTTGTTTATTCGGGGGATTCAGTTGTGAAACGCCACGTAACAGAAAAATGACTATTGTATGATAACTATCCCAAACTGGAAGAGATGGAACAAACAGCTTTGAGTGTTAAACTGGTTTAAATGGCTTCTGTGTTAAGGAAAGCTAAAAAACTTTGTGGTTTGTGCTATTTGGCAAGATGGGAGCTGGGAAACTCTGAAAGTTTGCTGAGTAAAGAGCTGCCTTGGCTGGAAGGTAAATGCCAATGTGAAGTCGTCCTGGGAATAAACTGACCATGAGTATAGGCAGGAGCAAGCAGGTTTCTAGGAACCGTGTCAGTGAGGTCTGGAATGAGCTTTGCGTGAGGCATGTGAGAGATGGAAAGTTAACCTTGTTTCTGAATTATCTGACTCCATTTTAGAAAAGGGACTTTGGGATGTGTTTGTCCGTGATGACAGAATTGGTCTTGACCTGGAAGATCCTTTCTGTGTGCACTTGCTTTACTACTTACGCTCAGCTGAAACACAGCCCTGTGTTGTTCTAGTCTCTGCAGTGCCTCAACTGCTGCCATCCAGTGTTTTCTCCCCAGTCCCCCACCTCCTCTTCCTTATTAAGTTTTTTTTTTTTTGTTCAGTTTTGTTTTTTAACTGGAAATCTAGTTCAAGCTATTAAAACTGTGTTCTTGTAGGTGCTCTGGTGAAGACATGGCAGCTGTTACCCCACTGAAAAGGAGCCGTAGTTTTACTGATACCAATGGGTATGTTAACTTTTCATAGTTTTAGGGGTTTTTTTTTCTAATAAAAACAAATTAATTGCTGCACGTAGAGTAAAATAGTGTTTAAAATCCTTGAGAGCTTTTAACATGAAGTAGAAAAAATTTTAAGGTGATTCTGAGATGCAGTAGCATTGCCCCATGTCTATTATTTCAGTGACTTATTTTATATTGTACTGAACATCTCGAGAGATTTCATGTAACATGTAGGGAAACCAAAGCTAAAAATTATCTTCAGTCTGTAGCATAGCACAGAACTAGACATGAGAAAAGCCGTTACACTGAGCTGATACTTTGCAGGCCCACACTAGTAGTTTGCATTAGGGCTGTTTTTTTTTCTTTTATTAAAGTAAAGTATCTTGTTTTGGCAGTCACCTCTGTCAACTGCCTATCTCTGTACGTGACATTCACAGGCAGACCTAGCCCTGAGTAGGTCACAAAACCAGCAGGGACCTAAAAACTGATTGTTTAGAAACTTAAGAAATAAACCCCCTGATGTTTGCATTTGTTTGTGGTAAAGTCTCAGTTTTTCCCACTTGGAAAGACTTTGATATACAGTACAGAAATACTGAGGTCTGCACAAATTATCTGAATAGTCTTCTAGTGTTAATAGAATAATAGTTCCTTTGTTATGTATACCCGAAGAACTTACAGGATTATTTTTTTTCCCCTAACTAGTGCAGAAGGCATTGGCCACAAACAAAAAGCTGAGCTTTAAAAACAAAAGAACAGCTTGTTTCTCATTCCTTCATAACTCTACCAGCTGAACAGATTTTTCTCACGCCTGTCTGGTACTGCCCCCGCAAAACCATGTCTGGGGAGGGAGACCAAGAGGAAAGTTTGGCTTTTGGAATTGGAAGGACAAATTCCTGAGATAGGGTGTAAATACTTGCTGAGGAAACACCTGCTATGTTGTGCCCCAAATAAATTATAACCAGGAATGGCTGAACGTATCCTTTACACAAATGTATTCTCTCCTTTTAGGCAGCAGGTTCAGAAGCTGTTGGTGATTTACTGATGAGGTTTGAGATTCTGAGATGGCTCTTAGAGTGAGATTTCAGTGTGTGCCTTTCAGAAACTGGTGTCAAATATTGTGAGATCCCTCCCCCCAGCTCTGTCTGTCTCACATACAGGGGTGGGGGATGCACAGCCTTTTTCAGAGGCACAAATCTGAGTAGACAGAGTTGGTCTGAAACAAATCAAACTTTTTTTTCCTCCTTAATCGTGCACAGTGCTGATCCCATCAGCAGCGTTCTAGAAAGCGGAATGACTCTTGTTCCCAGGTACTTTAACAAGTTCAGACAGGAAAATAGATTTACTGTTAAAAAAAAAAATGTGGAGAACAATGAGACAGTCTCAGGCCTTTTGATATTTGTATATTATAATTTGGTATTTGATATTATTTGTTACAGGGCGTATACCAGTGCAGGCAAGTAGGCTGCGTGAAAATTGTTATTTTAAGTAAAATAATAATTGAAAAGCTTTCAGTAGTATATGTGATGTTTGCTCCCTAAATATTTTTACAGTTCAGCCTTAGCCCTTGAGACTCCCGTGAAAAAAATTACAGGCTTTGCTGAAGGCCTGTCTCCACTCAAGACATCAAGAAATAATTGGTTTGCTTCTGAAATAAAATGGTCATCTAGCTCCAGCGATGAGATGAGAGAAAATGAGGCTGTCTCAGTGAAGCCAGTGCTGCCGAGGAGGCTGATTATTTCACCCCTTCAGGCAGCCAATGTACCCACAGCCACGCAGAAGGAGTCCCCAAGGAAATTATCCCTGGAGCCCACTTCCTCGTGCAAGCCCATTCTGCCTGTGGTGTCTTTTTATAGCAAGGAAAAGCGATACCTTACCCCTCTTGAGAGGAAACAACTGAAAGAGAACCACTCTTTGGGTGAGAGGAACAGGGATGAAAATCTCCCAGCTGCCAGCAGGACTAAGAAGACGACTGTGAACTTGAGCAGGAACACAAGCGCGAAGCCAACCAAGCGCACAACCAGCTCCAAGCATGGCAAAACTGCCCCCCAAAAGCTTAAGAAGGCAAAGGGAGATGTACCACCGGGAAAAGGCAGCGTGGAGAAAGAGAATGTGAACTGCCTAATTAAAAAGAAGATGGATTCACCCTTCAGAGTCCTAAGCATGACAGTTAAACCAGCCCTGAAACTCCAGGCGGGAGCAGCGTTCTTCTCTGCCAGGAAGAAATCTCACTCTAAAAAAACAGTTGTAGACACTAAGTCGCTCCCCAAACCCCTGAAAAATGATCGGGCTGGACCACCACCAGCTAAAAAGTCTAATTCAGCTGATGGAAACAAAATTCTCGAGGTGGGTGGTGTACTGAGGAGTAGTTCTGTGCCTCAGACAAAGGAAAATGAAAACAGGGAGGACTTTACAGGCTGTGTAAATCGAGAGGAAGATGCGGCACGTGAAGGAAAACCATCTCCGCGGAAAAGTAGCAGCACCTCTGGTTCGTTTGGTACTTCCAAGTCTGCAGTCACAGGAGATGGCGATGAAGAAAATGTGGTGAGTAGAGATGACATCAGGACCCAGGGAGGCATTCGGGTGACACACAAAGCTTGCTGGGCAAGCTGGAAGGAACATGTGCTGCAGTTATTCCGATACGGGGAGTTTATTTAAATACACTAGTGGATTTTGCCTAGGAAACTTTCACAGATTCATTCCTGCTTTACGAAGGCATAAAACTGCTCAGGAAGTTCATGTCCCCATCCCTGTCTGTCACCTCTCTCAGTTGTGGTGAATTATTCCATTTAGGATGGCTGAAAGGAAAGCTTTTGGCATGGTGTTTTTCCAGAAGAAAATCTGTATCTTTTTTGTGTGTGTGTTTTTTTTTTTTTTTTTTTTTTCCCATGATAAAGGGAAAAACAAGTTTTTAGGCTGCTTTGTTTTGTTTTTTTTTTTTTTTTTTCCCCTCGTTTTAATAAATACAACAAATGCCAAGTCTGACCTTGCTGACTTTTGGGGGGAGGTCACGAGCAGCCCGCGTGCTGGGCGTTCTCCCTGCGTAACCCAGCAAAACATCACCTGCTCAAAGCTGGAGGAAAGCGGCGCTTTGCCGGAGTTCTGCTGCTGTGCTCCTGAAAGCCAGTTTTGTTTTTTCTCAGCCAGTGAAGTAACCGGAGAGAGAGAAAGCAGAATTGTTTCTAGAGTGTCTTTCTTTAGAGGTTCTCCTGGATCGCAAGATGGTGCTTGCTGGTACAGCCTGTGCTGTTATTCAAGCAGCGCTAGCAGGCTTTGGTCTGGTCTGGGGTTATCTTTTTAGAGATTATTTTCTCAGCAGTCGCTATGTTCTAGTTCTGCAGCTCCTTTCTCCCAGCAAGTGAGGCTAAGCCCCAGTTTCTCATGCTTTAATGAACTAGCAATGAGTTTTCTGAGCTGGTCTGCGTTTGGAGAACTGTAACCTTTTTGTGTCTCACTGAAGAGGTACAAGCTGCCTTAGTGAATGCTCCTGGTGATAGAAAAAGGTTGTTTTGGGGGAGTTTTTTAAACGCACATTTAATTCTTGTGCTGGAATAGTTGAACTTTGCAATGAGTCTCACTTATTGGCAAGCAGTCAATGCTTGCCAGACCTTGCTTTGTATTTTATGGTTTGCTAGAGAATTGTTTAGCTTGGGATGTGGATTTTGCTTTCTAACGGGGCGCTGTGGTGCAAAAGGTAAGGGTGGCAATGGAACGAGTGCAGCAGTAAAATACAAATTCAGAACAGGTTCGCAAACTAATTCATTACACTTAATATCGTATTTTGCTGTCGCGTTCTGGCATCTAAAATGTTAGGGAAGCAGGAAAAGCCAGTGGAATACTACCTTACTATTTTATACTGGGCATTGAAAGGAAGCAGTGAACAAGACGGGAAGCTGTTTTTATAGGGCTAATGTGTTCTATATTCCTGTGTCAGTTCAATAAAAGACAGTTTATTGCCTCCTTTGTTCACCTGCACTGTTTTAGTATCTCTCTCGCATTCCTGACTTGATTGTCAATATGTTTTTACAGTGCAGCATTAATAAACCACAAATGTTAGCTTGTGCAATCTAATCTTGCACATGCAGTAAAAAAAAAAAATAAATAAATACATTTGAAAGCATTTGATTCTGCTGTGATGGCAGTTTTTTGGGTTGAGAAAGTATTTCTCAGAGGTTAACCAGAAGCATGGAGTGTTTGAAAAGGGAACTTGGTGACTTTGTGGCTGCAAACCGAATACAAACCAAGTTTGGCCTTGATCTAGTCTCAGATTCTGCTACAGCCGATTGCTTTACCTGGTGACCGTCTAGGGTTCCTGATGAGATGGGAAATAATACATTGTCATATACAAAAAGAGCAGAGTTCAAGGCAAAAATCAGTTTGGCAAACTTTCATTTCTACAGAATATTTGTGAGAGACTTCCAAAAGCAGTGCAGATGAATAGCTGTAGTCAGAGAATGAAGCAGAGTCCCAGAAATGCTAAGGTAAAGAAATGATACAAACCCCTACAGTTAAGATTTATTTTAAAACAAAAGGCAGAAAAAAAAAAAAAAAAAACCCAAACAAACAACAACCTAAAAAGGCAGGGTCATACCTAGTGTTCAGGTGCTGAGACTCAAAATCCATGATCATTGTTTGTCACTTTCCCAGTAGTTAAAGGCAGGAAGGTGAGAAATATCGATGGTGCGCCTCGAGGCTGCGAGTAACCTGCAGGAAATGAAATTTTCCTCACTGCTGGGGTGCAACGTTTTCGGCATCATTTTCAAATTCAGCAGCCAGGTCTGACTTTAATAATGGTGAGACAAGTGGTCCGCTAAGACTGAGGGTTTTTATTGGAAAATACAGCCATTGGCAGCACTTCATAATGTCAATTAATGTTCATTGTGAAAGTCAGTTGAACTGCGTGTGATTCTGTAACTGCTGTCTGAGAACTTAATCAACTGGAGCGTTTTCATTTTGCCCTAAAAAATTGTCTTGATTTATAGGATGCTGATGAAATCAGTTCTTCTACATCCTGTGAGTCAGATGATTGCATTATACTTTCAAGCCAATCTCCACGTAAGGTGAATAAGCGAGGTAAGCTGGATCATATGTGTCTTGGTCTGTGACTTTGTTTGCTGTAGGAAAACAAGGCCAAGGTGATTCTGAAAATCTCTTGGGTGACCTGCCTTTCCCCAGCAGGATCATTTCTACTGAATTCCCATGTGTCCTATAATTTAGTGTTTAAAGAAGCTGGACAGTAATAGTGGAGATTCTGCTCTCTCCCTGGTGAATCTGTTTTAGTGTTAAGCAGTATGTAAACATTTTCATCCCAATAAGTCTAACCTAGCTTTCCTCTTTGCTTTACTACACAGCCCATTCCCCATGAGATCTGGGAAACTGCTTTCATTTGAGTCGTATTTTTTAGGTGTTCCCCCATTCTTTTCTCCCTGGACTGTTACACTGAGTCTTTCAGCTTTCCATTTAAAAAATCTCGATTTTTAGGCATCTGACTCATTTATTTGTTTTCTCCAGGCTGAGCCATGTCTTTGCTGGTGTGGTACTTCCAAACAGAACCGCACCTGAGCCTTGCCAGCACTAATTAGCAGGAAGGGAGTAATTAATATATTCCACCCTCAGTGAACACATACATTTCCACAGGAAACTTTGTGTTTGTGAGATGCCTTTGGTTTGAGGTGGACAGTAACCGAGTGTTTTACAGGCAGCTGCTGCCCAGAGGGTTGATTCTTATTTTGCACTGGCTTGTTGTTAAGTGTACTGCTTCCCCTATCCTTACTTCAATCTGTTTGTTTCTGCCCATTTTCAATGCAAGAATGCTTTTTAAATTAAACTCTCAAATGCGCCTATGTGCTAACTATTATCTACAGAGTTATAGGCCTGGTGGTCACCGAGGAAACTCCACTCTACTTTTTGTTTCAGCAGTGAATTATTAACAATAATTATTTGAATGTGATTTCCCTCCCCCCTCAGTCAACTTTTCTTCTGGTTAGTTTACAGGGACCATATTTCCCTGCTAAGGCAAGGGAATTTTCAGAAGTTATATATTAATTTAAAGACATTTATTATTTTTCCTCTTGGGAATAACATTAGAATAAGAAGAAAATATGTTGCTGCTTAAATATTATTTTATTAAGGCAAAATAATGTGTTGGCCTCTACCTGCTGTCTCATCTTCCAAGTATGCACTAACATGTGCCAGTATGTTTGCAGAAGTTGAGGTCATGTTATTTTATCCTAATTTCCTGGTTTCTCCATTTTTCCCTTTTAAAAAATAGGCAGCATTTGCTATTCTGGCCTCAGGAGCCCTGGGTTAATTCAATCTTTGCAAGTCTGAAAAGGTTTGATTTATCTGAGTGTTCTCTCAACATTTTTCCCCAGCTGTGGAAGTGTAGGTCTCCTTTGTGTCTTAATGGCACTAACGAGCTCGTCACAACTAATTCTTTTATTGATGGCTGAAATAGAGGCACTCAATGCTTTGTAATCTGGTTTCAGCATTCCTTCTTCTTTCGGTAGCCTTCTGGGTTTTCCTCTTGCTGTTACAGGATGCTTTCCTGGTACTGTGGCCTTCCCAGGTAGAGCTCATCTTGCAATTTGGCTTTTCTGCTTTCAGCCCTTCATGTTGCTTCTCTGCCTTCCCTTGGTTTCTATTCCCTTTGCGATTCCACGAGTTTCCAGTGAAAGGAAAATGTCACAATTCACCCACATTTGTCTCTTGCTCCGCTTCTTTCTGGCACATCTGGTCTTCATCTGTTCCTTGAAGAAATTGCCAGCACTCCTGAGCTTTCCCCCCCCTTTAGTCTTGCTTCACATGGGAACTTATTTATCAGCTTTTGGAATGTAGTGAGGGCTGTTTAACTGCAGGTCACCCTTCCCCTGCCCTGCCTCCTTGTTCCCAGGATTGGCACGCTCGGTGCTGCCATCCACTTCTGCTGTCTCCAGCTCCACATAAAGGACTCGCTCCTCTTACGGTGCTTTCCACCTGTTTATAAAGCTCTTGCCATCACATTCCCAAAGATTGCCTGACATTATTTGCCTGCTGGGAGCTTTCCCAAGAAGTGCCTTGGCCCTCTAAGAGCCTGCGTTTCTAGGAAGCTGTAGGCTTTTTTTACTGTTTATTAGTGCCTCCTTCATGACTCCTCACGATCTTTTCCACTGCTGATATTAACAAGAGACTTTTTTATTGTCTCCCGTTTCCTAGAAACAACTGATTCATCTTCAGTATGTCTTTGGGAGGCTTAGGGCCATTTTTCAGCTTATGTATTTTACGCTATTTCTGTAATTCCTCGGAAGTCTCTGTTGATTTGTGAATGCAGTCAAAACAGGAGAGCAGAAAACAGTCTAGTACCTAAACTTTTAAACTTGAGGGAGAAATATATTCCTAGCTAATAGTTTGCTTGGGTTTACCTACCAAAGTCTTTGCTAAATTATCCTAAAACTTGCAGGTTGTGTGCTGTAACCTACTGCTGAGCCCATTGTTTCTCAGCTTCTCTAAGATGAAGCAGCTATAGGTTCAGGCTGCCTCCACCAAAATATCGGAAAACAGAGAAACCTGTGCTTGAGTAATCCTAATAGCCAAGAAAACACTGAATTACTGCAGCAGAAATTTCTGCTTCATAATTCCGGTGTGAGAGGGGAAGGTAGCAGATAGCCCGATCAGTGTCCCTGAGGTGGATTGAAGGTGATTATGGCTGGATACCACTCATGGACGTAACCGGTGTCCTGCAGCATCAGCAGCTTCCCAGTGCTCCAAAAATCTCTTGTCTACAGGGTCCAGTTTCACTGGTGTGTATCTTTTTGAAGTCTCGCTGGTGTTTGCATTTCTGTTTCCCCGTATCAATGTGCTCTGCAACTAAAAGGGATTCTAAACCACAATAACTTCACTCGTCTTTTCCAGCAACTCCTTCAAATGCCGTTGTCTACCCCATATTCAGTGCACCCCCAGCCAGCAAGAAAAGGTAAGCTGATCTTTGCTAAGTCTCTCCAAGAATGATCAGAAGTCTCATGTCTGCAGAATCTTTTTTTTTTTTTTTTTTTTTTAAATATACTAATGCTAAAAACACTAGCTCAGCTTTCCCCCAATCTTTGTAAGGTTTAGGAGTCCGGTGCTTTTTTATTGGGTTGGGTTGGCTTTTTTTTTTTTTTTTTTTTTCTTTTAAAGGGAAGATAAAAGCTGTCTTGATTTAGGCAGATACTAGCCTTTGCATAAGGAAATACACATTAGCTTAGAAACTGTAGTACATTTTACTTGTGAATTTGTACGTATTATTGAGCTGATTATTTTTTTTTTTAACCAAAAAGGAAATAATAGTTTTCTCCTAGCTGTTGCAAAGGATAAATTCATTAGAACAAGGGGGGAACTGTTTCAGGATATATTCATTACCAAGAATGGCACAGCCTCGGTGGTGTTTGGACTCTGTAGAGGGGGTTTTATTTATTTGTAGTACTACTTTGTGTCCTGTATCTCCCTATCTGGAGTGTCCATAACGAGCAATAACTTTCGGCCTTTATGTAATGGCCGCTCCTTAGGGACCTGCCCCTCCCATCAGCCAGAGAGCCTGGGCAGCACTAACTATGAATTTGAGTAGGTACCAGAGTTGTCAAGACAAATTCTCTTTCCTCAGACAGTTTGGGGTGTGTATAACATCACCTGCTGGCCGTAGGATGAGCTGGGAGGCACTGCTGTCCCTCGCTGGCGCCTAATGAATGGTTGGGGTTTCTGTAGATACATTTAAGCCCGCGCTGTAGACAGCAGATGGGCACGTTTGTGGGTTTACTTCACCTACATCACCACCCGGTCCAGCAGCCATGCCTCTGGCATGGTCATTCTTGCCGCGTTGGAACCGATTCTGTGTTGCCAGAAACTTTTGGAGCTGAGTTTGTATGCATCAGCCACAGTGTGTGAAAATTCAACTCTGTTTAACCGGGCCTGTTGACCTGCGGGTCTCTTGTTGAGTAACACTGGAAAGGCTGACGGGGCAGGCCAGTAACTCTGCTCCGGCCAGTCTGTGGCTCTTGTGGGAACTGGAAGCTCCTCTGTCTCTGTCACACTCAACCTCCTTTACCAGTTCAGCCTACAGTATTAATTCTTAAACTGTTGAAATGACTCAGTCTCAGGGAAGGCACTGGCTTCTTCAAGTTGCACAGAGCTAAAGATTTCAGAAGGCTTGTTGTAGAATGCCCATATTCTTTAAATTTAGTGTCAAACCGATCTCTCTCTGCCGGGAGGTTCATTGTTTTGCCATAGTAACTCTTCCTAGGCTATGCTTTTGTAACTATTGCAGTGCCAAGGCTAATGCTGACCAACACCTCCACTGTTAGCACTCGGGGAAGTATCTGTGCGCTCTGCAGAAATCCCCTGAAGTGCAAAGGTCAGTAGCAGCACTGATCAGGTGTGGTTCGTATTGCGCTTTTTTTAACCAGGGAAATTTTAGTGCAGCAGCACTAGGTAGCAGCACGCTCGGATGTTTTGATCTAGGTGCCGAAGACAAGACAGAAATTGTAATAAAATGGGTGAAAAAGATTAACGGAAGCACGTGCTTCTCTTCCACTTTCCTGTGCTCACCTGAGTGGGTATGTCATCAGCTGCTGGGCGATGTTTGATATTTAGTGTGGTGGAAATGAAGCCACCAGCATGTGAAGTTTTCTTTTTTGATGCTGTAAAAAGCATAATACTGCTAAATTACTTGCAGGCACTGGGACTCTTTACTCATAAGGTGTAATTGTACTACCCGGTGTCTGTGCTTCTGATTAGCTTATTTCTTCAAATAATTTTCTGCCATACTTGTAGACCTCTAGTGGAAAAAAACTTGTTTTCCCATGCAAGAGCCAGCGCTACTAATCCCTCTCCCACATTGAATTGACTTCTTGATACATTTTGTTAACAATAAAAGCATTCTGAGCTGAGTTTATTGTGAACATAAAAAAAAAAAAACCAAACTCACTTAAAGTTGCTCCTAAAAGAGCCAAAATAAACCTTCCAAGACTTGTCGCGCTACTGTAGTCCTCTGCCACAGAAGTGTTGAAAGAGAGATCCGATTGCAATATTTGCTTTGCTGCTTCATGTGGCTTTTCAAATACCTTCCGTGGTGCAAGTGGAACCCTGGAATATGTGGAAATCCTGGTGTTTGTGATTAACTGAAAATCGGTCTTGGATTTGCAGTTGTCTCTTGGGAAGCTGATGAGCACAAGCTTTTCCTACATGAAGTCTCTGCTTTGGAAATTCTCCTTGGTATCCAAATCTATACAATTGTTTGGTGTATCTCTAAATCAGTTCCATGCTAAGATTCACTGCGCCATAGTTACAATTTCCCACTTCAAGATTGCTTAAGAAATGCCACCTTGCATACCGAAGTCTAAAGGTAGGTTAGAAGAACTATGCAATTATTAACACTGCTAACAGTGTGCTTCCCTGTAGCTGAAGCCCACGTTGTAAACTTAAAAAAATAACATAAAGCCTCCACGTTTGCATCTGCCCGTGAAAAATTCCTCTTGGCCTTGCTTCAGTCTGCTCCCCTCTTTGGGAAGCTGTCGCTGCTAGATGGCAGAGGAGAGTTTAGCCCCAGCACCGAGGGGTTTTCCTGAAATGCTGCTGAGCCCCTGGTGTGAGGGCAGAGTTGGTGTGAGGGGCTGGGATTTGTGGCGGTGAAGCAGTGGCTGAGTGGGGAAGCGGTCCTGGCACCCCAGGGGTAGACAGAGTGTGGCCTTCAGCCAAAATTGTCAGCCAAAACCTTGTCACAAGGTCTTGTACACCTTCATCAAAACCTAGATGAAAGGCTTTGTAGCTTATTGGAGTTTGAATTTTTTTTCTTTTCACTTTCTTCCTGTTTTTCTCCTTGAGGGGGAGAGTGGTGCTGGTGTGGTGTGCACTCTGTAGCCAGCTTTCCTGGCAAAACAGCAACAGTTGAAGCTTTGTAAGGTTATTTCCGATGATGCTACTTCCCCTGCTGAGCCTGGCAGGGTAGGACCCGTATCCTTGCCTCGTGTCACGCTGTCCAGACGCCTGGCTTGGCTCCCTGCGCTGCTCAGACCAGGCTGTGGTACTGTGGGTTGCAGCGTGGTCGCTCAGCGAGACCCCTGCTCCCCCTGCCCCTTGTGCTGACATTCCCAGGTACTCACAGCCCCATCTCCCCGAGCCCTTCGATCTGCTGGGGACTCCACAAACCCACACTCCTCCTCAGCCCGTTGAAGGCTAGACGCGTTTTAAGTGTGTGATCATAGCTGTAAATTTATGCACAGGTCACACAAGTTAGGGGCACGTTTCTGGGAATGTTTAGGTGAGACTTTGGGTTGTTTTTTTTTGGGATCCCAATCAGACTCGGCCACAGGGTTCCCGGCGTGGAGCAGCTTGCTGCTGAAATCTCTGAGCCCACACAGGAGCGTTTTTTTGGGTGTCTCGTCGCACATAAGCAGCGGTTTGAGGATCGGAGCTGCTGGATTTGGGCACCTATTTCTTCACCTGCAGCTTCCATGCTTCACAGATCTGATTCTGTTTGTTGTGTATCCCTTTGGCTGTTCAAGGAGCTGCTGAATTTCCAGTATCCTGGGAATAGGATGGCTGTGGAAGTGGGAGAGGTGCTTAGTCAAGAGTTATTTAACTTCTGATGCAATTGTGGCTCTTCGTAGAGCCCCTCTCCTTCCCTCCTCCCCAGAGGAGCTGGCACCACAGCTGCCAAGAAGCTTTGCTGTACCTGGCGTAGTTTGGGGTCTTCTGTAATAAGAGGCACTACCCTGCCCTGGAACCTGATACGTAATGTTAACTTTTGTCTGCAGTGACTCGTTTTTATCTCTCTGAAATGATTAGCAGGACTCAGGCTGCGCTGGGTGAAGCGGCTTCTCGGTTTGCTTCCAGCCCACCTGCAAAACCATCTCACACCTCGCAGAAAAGCAAGAAGGCGAAAGAGCTCTGCAAGTGCTCCAGAGATCAGATGATCATTGTAAGGTTCCCCCCCGGGGCGTGCTGGGTTCGGGGTCACCTGGTGGGGAGGAAACAAGAAACATAGCTTGAGGCTAACCAATAAGTCGGATTTTTTTTTATTTTTTTTTTTTTATTCCCCCCTCCTCATGTAAACCTCAAACCAACCACACTGTGATGACTGTAACAGGGCAGCGATTAACATATTTAGCACTAGATGAGGACGAGGTAGTAGCTGGGAAATACATTGTTATGGTTTCTCTGGGACTAACGCTTTATTACGTTTTAGAATTTGAAAGATTTATGGAACATAATATTAAAAAAAAAAAAAAAAATCCCGAAGGGAAACTCAGCTAAGCTTGTATGGATGCTATAGGAGTGACTCTGGCTGGCTAATTTTCCTTTCCCACGGCTTCCTGGCCCGCTGTGCACCGCAACCACAGCGGCAGACGTCAACCAGGGCAGCACAGGAGCGGGAACGAGCGACTGAGAGCTGAGCCCGAACGAGCGGGTGCCTCCCCGGCGGCTCCACATCTGCCTTCCTGCTCTTGCCCTTCCTGCTCAGCGGGGAGTCCTGGTTTTGGAGCAGGAGGAGGCCAAGCAGTGCTCCTGAGGCTCACATGTCACGTAACCATCACGCAGCTGGATTTCCAGCAAACACACCCTCGGCGATGAGTAATTTTTTTTTTTTTTTTTAGTGAACCATTTGTTCTCACTTAGTGACATGCAGGCATTTGCAAGCCTGTTTCCTGAGGGAGCAGGGCTTATGTGATCATTCTCGCCTGTTGATCTGCCCTTTCTAGCACCTTTCGGAGTTGTTTGGATGATTCCTGTCAAATTTGAGACCTCACAGATACGAGATTTTTTTGGGTTTGGTTTTTTTTTTTTTTGGAGCGTTTTGAAAACTGGTCCCCGTGGAAGGGAGGAAGCCAGATGAGAGGAGAGCAGCGGCGTGTTACTCGGCAGGAACGCGGTCACGAGCTCCAGCCCTGCCTGGCACGCCTCGGCTGCGTGTTTAACCACTGGCCCACGAGGGACAGACCGTGGGTGCTGTGACACCCGGGGGGGGGTGGGAAGCCCAAACTGGGACGTGGGGAAGGGAGAGCAGCCAGTGCAGGGAAATGAGTCCTTAACAAACTAAGCTTCCCTTCACCTCCCTACTTAGAGAGCTGTCTGCTGTTGGCTTGCACAACTGGCATCCAGTCCCTTCTCTCCTCCTCCCTGTGTAGTCACAGAGAGAAAAATGAGGTTATTTCTAGGTAACTGATGAAAAGACTAAACAGAAATGGGCCCATCAACTTGTGCTGTTAAAAAAAAACCAAGGTAAACTAATATTTTTTTCCCCACGAGGCACAGTTTCTCTTGGAAAATCCAGTCTGTGTAGCTCTGTGTTCCAGCTATAGTCAGCAGTTAACAGCTTGGCCCACACTTGTGTCAGAGTTTAAATACAAATATCAGGTATACATAGAATATCTGTCTACCTGTAGCTTTTTTTTTGTGTGTGTGTGGTGCTTTTTTACATTGTTCCCCTGGTGAAGATGTTGCTGAGCTATTTCAATAGCTGTTCCGAAATAACACGTTGATTTTTATTCCCTGGATAATTTAATGCTACGGAGTTCTGAATATTCGGCAAATAAGCAAAAGCTTGTCCTCCTCTTTGCAAACCGGGATGAAAAAACAAATACTTGAATCTTTGGTGACTGGTACTAGAACTGCTTCTCAACCTCCTCCCTTAAACCGACCGTGGTTTCGAGCCGCCTCAGAGCGCTAAGCTGGCTCCGTTTCTCACCAGGACGCCGGTCAGAAGCATTTTGGTGCCGTAGTTTGCAAGTCGTGCGGCATGATCTACACGGCCGCGAGCCCGGAGGACGAGGCCCAGCACATCCAGCACCACGAGCAATTCCTCGAGGCGCTCCGATACGTGGTAAGGAGGCGGGATGATGGGGGGGGGGGGGGGGGGAAGCTGCAGGCAAGGGCGCTTGTCACCCAGAGCTGGGGGGGGCGTGGGGGGGGTTAAAGGGATCGTGGGGCGGTTCCACCAAATGTCTGCCTCCATCAGTTTGATGGATGTGCCTTGACTTTATTCCTGAAAGCTGAAGTGGTTCAGATTACGGCTTCATCTGCCAGAGTCTGCACTGAATCACTTCCCCCTCTCTTGCTAGGCCACTAACTTGTTTGTTTGTTGTTTCCCCCCCACTTCTCTGTGGCAGGGTTGGAAGAAAGAACGGGTCGTGGCAGAGTTCTGGGATGGGAAAATTGTACTGATTCTTCCCGACGACCCCAAATACGCCGTCAAGAAGGTACGCGTTTGTTTATTTGGGGGTTTCTGATGGTAGGTTAGCTTTCCGTTGGCTCAGCTCCCGCGACTACCTCGGCGTGGGATCCCGCGCCGCTTGGCAGTGCCCGGGGCGGCCGGGAGGGCTGCGTGGGGTGGTGGCAGCGAGCATGCCCACCCTGGCACATCCAAACCCTGGAAGCTTCCGACGCGTGACCACCGTAACCCCGTCCTTCCCGTCCCGAGGGCTTGGGCTGAGAGGCAGGTGTGCTCGGCGAGAGGTGTGGAGGGATGGAGACACGGGTGAGAGCTCGTGCTTTAACATTCGCTCCGCCCTTAGAGCCAGCTCTTGTGGAAGCACGGGCTCCTTTGGGGGAACGGGTCCCCTTTCTCACAGATTTCACACCAGAGTCGAAGAGTGTGTGTGTGTTAGTACCTACCGTGCCTCTCTCCGCTTTTGTTTTCTTAGGCAGAAGGCATCCGAGAAATTGTCGATAGCGAGCTGGGATTTAAGCAGGTTTCTCTGAGCTGCCCAGCCAAGACTAAAATCTACTTGTTTGTGTCCAACAAGAAGATGGTTGTTGGGTGCTTAGTGGCTGAATCAATCAAACAGGTACAGTGGTGTTAACTGTGTGGGGAGGGCGTGAAATTGCAGGCTGGGAGCTGGGGCTCTTGGCGTAAGCCTGTGTATCGGAAATTGTGGATTAGCCACGGGAAAGTGGGGGGGGGGGGGAAATAAAACTAAAGAAATAAAAAGCAACCCCCCCCCCCCCAAAAAAAAAAAAAAAAAAAAAAAAAGCAAAGCTTGTGCTTTTGTCAGGGTGCTGCTGGCAGGAGGTGGGTGAGTTTGCACGGCTGATACTGCAGCCAGCTTCTGCCTGACCCTGGTTTGCGTGCCAGCCTGCCTTGTAGAAGAGCTGGAGGCAAGGCTGGGAGCACGGGAAAGCCCTTGGCTCTGCATCCCCCTCGGAAAGGAGAAGTTTGCTGCCTCTGCTCATCCCCGCAGGCTTTCCGGGTGCTGTCTGAGCCGGGAGCTGCCCCGTCCCCGGGCCAGGAGGCCCTGGAGCACCACCGGGCTTGGTGCTGCTCCACGGAGCCGCAGCCCGCCGTCTGCGGCATCAGCAGGATCTGGGTGCTGGGCCCCAGGCGCGGGAAGGGCATCGCCCGTCGCATGGTGGACGTGGTCAGGTAGGGAGGGGCGGGAGGGCAGCGGGGAGCCGGGCTCCCAGCGCCGGGTTTTCCTGGGCGGGGAGGGAGGACGGTGATCACAGGAAAAAAAAAACAAAAAAACAAAAAAAAACAACAACAAAAAAACAAACAAACAAAAAAAAACAACAAAAAAAACCCAACCGAAAAAAAAAAAAAAAAAAAACCAAACAAAAAAAACAAAAACAAAAAAAAAAACAAACAAAAAAAAAACAAACAAACAAAAAAAACAAAAACAAAAAAACCCCAAACAAACAAAAAAAACCCCAACCAAAAAAAAAAAAAAACAAAAAAAAAAACCCAAACAAAAAAAAACAACAAAAAAACCCAACCGAAAAAAAAAAAAAAAACAAAACAAAACAAAAAAACAAACAAACAAAAAAACCCAACAAAAAAACCCAACCGAAAAAAAAAACCAAAACAAAACAAAAAAACAAACAAACAAAAAAAAAACACAAAAAAAACCCAACCAAAAAAAAAAAAACCAAAACAAAAAAAACCCCAAAACAAACAAAAAAAAAACAACAAAAAAACCCACGTTTAGCAGGAACTTACGGGCAGGGATAAATTTGTATGGTTAAGCAAGCCTGAAATCCCTGCTCCACAGCTGAAAGCTATCGAGTGGGCAGATATATATCTCTCTAATATTGAAGTAACATTCGTATTTAAAATATTTAAGTAACATTCGTATTTAAAATCTGACAGAAGTGTGGGCCAAGCAGTTAACTGCTGGAACACAGCGCTACACGGTCTGGATTTTCCAAGAGAAACTGTGCCTCTTGGGGAGGGGGGGGGGGAATATTAGTTTCCTTTTTTTTTTTTTTTTTTTTTTTAAAACTGGATAAGTTGATGGGCCCAAACGGTTTTGAGTTTTTCCAGGCAGGAACTTGTGAGCTTTTCAAGCTCGAGGCAAACTGGAAGACTGAAAAACTTCCTTTCATCTATTAATGTGAACCGCCGTGAGGGGGAGCTTGGTAGCCCTTGAGCCTGTACTCACACCTGTCTTTGTGTTGTATCTGCTCGCTATATGTCTATCAAACACAGCCATATAAAGTGTATCAGTATCTATGTATGTAATTTTTAGGTGTTTATAATCATTCACGATTGTATCTGGGGCTCAATATTCTGAAAAATTTATCAGCCAGTGTTGAGTCTCCGCTTCCTCCTGTGGTTAGCGTTGCCTGCGTGGGCTGTGGGTGCCCACGAGAGTCCCGGCACTGCCGTGGTGGACTTCACTCAGGAACAGCTCCACAGTATTTAACTGAAACCTCTGGGTTTCCATGTAAAACTGTATTTGGGGGGGGGGGGTTTTCAGCTTGTATTCGGTCTCAACACGCTCCTTGTTACTAATTTTAAAACGGCTCCCGATTACGCCAGAATTCAGGAGGGCAAACTGGCATCTTGCAGCGATCTGCTCTGGTTTGAAAGCAAAGGGATGGAAAAAAAAAAAAAACAACAGCTCCCTGCTGAGGCGGGCTGGGGGGGGGGGGGGGGGGGGGACACACACCCCTGCGGGGGGTGGTTTGGGGGGGCTGGCTGAAGCAGCCGGCCCTTTGCAGCGCCCCGTGAGCTCCGCTCTCGTTTTTCAGGAGCACGTTCATGTACGGCTGCTACCTGAGCACCAGCGAGATCGCCTTCTCCGACCCCACGCCGGACGGCAAGCTGTTCGCGACGAAATACTGCCAAACCCCCAACTTCCTCGTCTACAATTTCATTTGCAGCAACTGATTCGACTCGATTCCGAGGTTTGTTGAAATCATCGGAGGTGATTTGCCGGTTTAAGATAACACTCAAGCGTTGTTACCTGGCTAAAGGCTGTTTTCCTGCTGAGCGCCGGTTCTTCCCCCGGGGAGCAAGCTGGGGGAGACTGTGTCACTTTGTGTACAGAGCTGTGTTCTATTTTAGTGTATGCCGTGGAACTTTGCTCGGGTTTCAGGGAGGTTTGGTTCTTCCGAAACTACATTTTTATTGCAAGTAACTTAATTTTGTTGAAAGATTTAATTAATATAAAGATGGCTGGTTTCTCCCTGAGCTGTGACCATGTAGTTCTGAGCTCTCGGCGGTGTGTGTGTGTGCTGTGGAAGGAGGGCTGGCAGCCTTAGTACATGCAGTTGTTAAATTGATGCACAGAGGAGTAAGAGATGTCTTAAAACGATTGACTGGTGGCAGGCTTTTCCCCAGCGGGCAAGGTGTGTAGTGCTGCTGGGGAAGCTGTCACGGAGGTTGCCTGCTCAATAAAATGTGTGAAGTGCTGCTTGCTCCAGCTTGTTTCCATGTCCAGGAGAGATGCGGGAAGGCTTCCACCGCTCTCCTGATTTGAGGAATTCAGAGAAGGTGGCAGCAGGGGCTGAAACAGAAGCTGAGGGCTGCCTGGGAGCAGGACAAATGTGTTGTGGCTTCTGTCTCCAACCAGCTGTGGGCAGGAATTTCCCCAACCAGCTGGCTTTTTGTTAATAAATTCCCAAGAGGCTGGTTTTGGTTTGTTGTTGTTTTGTTTTGTTTTGTTTTTTGTCTTGACCCTCCACACTTTTTTACCATGGTATGATTCTGTGTAACAAGCTGTTGTGTCAGGAAACCTTTTCCTTGAGCTTGTGGCTGTTCTCCCTTGGTACCATTTTCCTGTTACCTGGGGCCTGCAGCCCCCACCCACCGCAGGAGCACAAGTACTTTTACACAATAGCCCTCACCAAAGCTTGCACATACCTGGGAGGGACACACACTCTCCTTAGGAAAAGAAAACCACCTCTTAAATTTTATTTTTAACATCTCAGTCACAAAACTGTCATTAATTCAACACAAGGAGAGAGGGAAGGGGTTTAAAGCAGTTCTACCATGACAACTAAAAGCAAAACTATTAAACAGAGCATGTAGCTTATTTAGGACTTAAGTGGGTGTGGGAGGGGATATTGCTCTAGAAGCAGAGCAAGCCTCAGTCACTTAAGGCATGTCCTTAACCCAGGGGTTAGTGTTTAATGAGGTTAGCTGTGCTTTTAAGAGTACAGAGCTGGTTTCACATACTACTACAAGGTTAAGTGTTGCAGGACTGGCCTTGCTCTTCTACGTTCAAGGGTGGAGTTTGGGTGCTTTTACTCCTGGGGCAGACTTGCCTCCAGGGCTTCCACGATGCAGGCAGCTGAGGGACGCTTTGTGGGGTCCTCACTGGTGCAGACAGAAAAGAGGTCGATCATCTGCTGGTAGGACTGGTCCAGCTCTTCCATGTTGAGGGCCGGGCGGGTTCCCAGGGCTGCGTAGTATGCTTCCTCGTCAAAAGATTCATCTAGGCAAGGAGGTGGCAAAGGTGTTGGAAACCACTCTGCTCCCTTGAGTCACGGGGCTTTGCTCCCCACCTGCCCCTCATCCATCAAGGCGTGGTTTGGGTGGGAAGGGACCTCAAATCCCCCCCAGTGCCCCCCCCTGCCCCGGGCAGGGCCCCCTTCCCCCAGCCCAGGGGGCTCCCAGCCCCGTCCAACCTGGCCTTGAACCCTTCCAGGGAGGGGGCAGCCACAGCTGCTCTGGGCACCCTGGGCCAGCGCCTCACCCCCCTGCACAGGGAAGAATTTCTTCCTTACATCTAATTCAAATCTCTCCTCTGTCAGTTTAAAACCGTCACCCCTCGTCCTACCCCCACCCCCTGACCCAGAGCCCCCCCTCCTGTCCCCCCTTTAAGCCCTGGGAGGCCACTCTCAGGGTCCCCCCGGAGCCTTCTCTTCTCCAGGCTGAACCCCCCCAACTCTCTCAGCCCGGCCCCCCAGGGGAGCTGCTCCAGCCCCCCCAGCATCTTCGTGGCCTCCTCTGGCCCCGCTCGAGCAGCTCCGTGTCCTTCTGCTGTTGGGGGCCCCCGAGCTGGCCCCAGCACTGCAGGGGGGTCTCCCCAGAGCGGAGCAGAGGGGGAGAATCCCCTCCCTGGCCCTGCTGCCCCCCCTGCTCTGGCTGCAGCCCAGGGCACGGGTGGGTTCTGGGCTGTGTAGAAACATTGCAGGGTCAACTCCTGCCTTGCAGGGGTGTGGTAGGGTATGACCTTTATCGTCAGCTTCCCTAGTCTTTTGTTAGCACTAATTACTGCCTAGGATACATCATTACTTTCCCTTTGACTTAAATTGCTTGTTTTGAAGCTGTATCAACCCCAGTAGAATAACTCTGAGTCAGCCCCGAAGAGCTGGCTGGGAAAAAGCTCTGCAGCCAGGAGATGCCAAGAGCAGGAGAGTGAGGAAAAATCCCTCGGCTGCCTGGAGACAGAGTTAGAAAACACACACCAGCCTGCGTGTCCCTGCCAGCACAAAGGCTGGAGCAAGAGTTTTCCCAGCACAGCCCGTAGGATTTTTAGTTTTGTATCGCTCCAGGGCTCAGCTCTGCGGGCAGGCAGCTGTAGCATCCCCTGCCCACCCCTCTGCTCCCCCCCGCCTCGTTTGTTCCATCTAACTCCAAACCGGAGGGTGGCCAAGGTGGCCCCAAGAGCACCCCGGCTTGTGTCAGCCACAGCGTGGCCAGCAGGACCGGGGCAGGGATCGTCCCCCCTGTACTCGGCCCTGGGGAGGCCGCACCTCAAATCCTGGGCTCAGTTTTGGGCCCCTCACTCCAGGAAAGACCTTGAGGTGCTGGAGCGCGTCCAGAGAAGGGCAACGAAGTGGTGAAGGGTCTGGAGCACAAATCCTGGGAGGAGCGGCTGAAGGAACGGGGGGGGTTCAGCCTGGAGAAAAGGAGGATCAGGGGAGACCTGATGGCTCTGTACAACTACCTGAAAGGAGGCTGGAGTGAGGGGGGGCCGGTCCCTTCTCCCAAGTGACAAGATGAGAGGAAACAGCCTCACGTTGTGCCAGGGGAGGTTTATGCTGGATATTAGGAAAAATTTCTTCACGGAAAGGGTTGTCAAGCACTGGCCCAGGCTGCCCAGGGCAGTGGTGGAGTCCCCATCCCTGGAGGGATGTAAAAGACGTGTGGATGTGGCGCCTGGGGACGTGGGTTAGTGGTGGGCTCGGCAGGGTGAGCCGAGCGGTTGGACTCGATGGTATTAAAGGTCTTTTCCAACCTAAACAATTCTGTGGTTCTATGACAAATCCCCACGTGGGGACACGCAGGAAGGGCCCGAAATAACTCAAACTGGACTGCGAGACGCAGCGTTTTGGGGTTACTAACACACACTATAAAACTCAATCCCATTGAGAGAGGAAAGAAAGGGTTTCTAGGAGCAGAAGTTGCTCAGCAGCAAGGTATAGAAACAAACCTTCGCTGTCAGAGTTATCGCTCAGGTTGAGGTGGGGCACGGAGAGGGTCATCATCTCCCACAGGGTCAGCCCGAAAGGGAAGATGTCAGCCTTGTCGGTGATCACGCCGTCATCCTCCAGAGCCTCCTTGGGCTTCCAGGGCTCGGTGCCGATGTAGTACACCTCGGGTTTGCTCACTGGAAGGAAAACAACAGGGCTCAGGCGTCTGCTGGGACCTGTCACAGCTCACCGCGCAGCAGGGGGGTTTAGCCCGTGGGTTAGCTCAGCTCTGCTAAACCCACAGGGCAGGATCTTTTGGGGGTCTGACCCAATTTTTTTCTTTCACATCCCCGTAGTCTCGAACCACCCCCTGCAACCCAGCAGGGCTGGTGCTTCTCCTCCGCAGGCTCGGCAACGCACGTTAGGGACTAGAGGAACCTCCACGAGGAGATTTCACCGTGGAGTGTCAGAAGAGAACCAGAGCTCCGCAGCTCAACCCTGCTGCGAGACACCCCGCAATGAAGAAGTGAGGAAATTACCTGCGTTTTCACCCAGGTTTTTCCCTTCCTCAGCTTGCCCCCCCCCCCCCACCCCACCACCACCACCACCCTGGGGTGGCAGCACTCACAGGACACCTTCCCCAAACAATGCCAGGGGACAAAGCCAGCTCGACGCCGGTCCTCACGAGGCTCCGTCAGCCTCCACCACCCAGTGCCTCCTGCCAGCCACGCAATCCTTCTGTTTTCTTTCCTCCAAGCCAAACCAAGTTCTCACCACTTTGGTCAATTTAATACCTCCTGGATGTTAATTAGCCTCGGGAGAGTTGAAGCAATCAGCTCTCAGCCTGACTAAAGAAGCACCAGCTCTGACTCGATGCCGTATATCCCTCTCTCAATCGCGAGCCCCGCTCCCAAGGGGAGGGTGCCACGTTGCCCCTCACTCTCCCCAGCAAATTCCCCAGCTCTCAGCCAAATCTCAGCCGTTCAAGAAACTTCCCTCATTCAGGGCTGATCTTCAAAGCCCGGCCTGTAACGAGAAGCAAACGCTGGAATCCCTCAACACTTCACAGACTTGCGCTTTAATCCTTAGCTGCCTCAGGGATGGGGACCCGGCACCCTCACCGTCGGTGGGTGCCCGTTGTCTCCTCAAGACGCTGAGGAGGCGAAGCCAAAAATCAGGGCTGGGCGGAGAGGACTTCTTCCTGTTCAGCCAGCCCAGAAACCGATACTTTAACCACACTCTTCTCCAGGAGATTATGCTGGGGCGCTGCCTCCAGCTCTCTCGCCCCTTATAAAAGGGAACAGCTACTAATAAAAATGTAAGAGAGCAGCTTTATAAATTACGAGGCTGTCGCAGGCCCAAGCGCCGCGTAAAGCGGTGGAGGAAAGCGTTCTCGTAATTAACCCAAACACATTCCTGCCGTTCACAGCCAAGCCGCGACGCCGTTAGACATCTGCTTCTCATCTACGTGAAGTCTTTATAACGCTCGCAGTTGGCCCGTGCTTCCTTCTCACCCTACGAGAAAGATTCATTTACTCAACTCTCTGGCGAGAGCATCTCCTCGACAGGGTCCGGCGGGGCCTGATCCAGCAGCCCGCGTACGACGGCATTCCTGCCCGCCGGCGCGTGGGAGGGCACGAGACAGACGTCAGAGTTCTGGAGAATCAAAAGCTGGACCTTCTGGAGATCCCCTTCACCCACGCACGGTGCAAAGCAGGACAGGGAGCGGGAGAAGCGGGGTCACTCTGCTCCCGGAGCCCGACTCTGGCGGCCACTGAGCGCTCGGGACCCCTTCCCGGCCACCCGACCTACCCGTCATGTTCTCATCCAGGGGCAGGGACACTCCCACATCGCAGATCTTGATGGCTTCAAAGTCACCTTTAATGACCACGTTTGAAGACTTGATATCTCCGTGGAGCAGCTTCTTGTCGTTGTGAAGATACTAAGAGGGAGAGAGGAGCTGTTACCACCCGCTTTCGGATACAGCCATGGAGAGGCAGGAGGAGCCCGTTGGATTTGGACAACAGAGCAACCAACTTCTTAATGTTTAACGTATTTAGCCTTAAAAACTCACGGAAGGGTCAAGCCCTACCTGTAACCTGTACAAAACACAGGGCAGGTTGTTCCACCCAGTTTAGTTTTGGAGGCTCACGGTTACTTTTTGGTGACAGGCTGCGAGAAGCGTCTCTAGCAACAAGCATTTGTGAGCAGGTGTGAAACGCGGGCGAAACTCCTCCGCGTCACCCCAGGAGCTCAGAGCTGTGTCCCCTCGGCCACCACGGCCTGGGCTTTACCCTGACTGCAGGGGGGGAGGCTCAGAAACCTCGCCGAGTCTCCGTTTCTCCTCCTTTTTCCCCCAAATGCAACCTGAGCGTGGTGGTAGGAGGTAGACAAGCGGCACCAGGTAGAAGACGCGGGCAGCGGCGAAGCATTTTCAGTGCCAAGAGCAGCTGCCTGGCGTGGCAACAAGGAAACCAGCAGCCAGCCTCCTCGCCGGCTAGCAAGCAGGGACAGCAGGTAGCCCCAGGGGAGGGCAGCAGGACATTTGTGACAAAAAAAAAAAAAAAAAAAAATCTGTTGCATCTCTTTTTATATTATTTCAACCTCAAGCTTCAGGGCTCAGTTTTTACCTGAGTCTGTGCAGCACCCCAGTAAAAAAACCAAAACAAAACAAAACACACAAAAAAAAAAAAAAAAAAACAAAACCCCAAAACAACAACAAAAAACCCCACCAAAACACTGGGGTTTTATATGAAGCGTCACAGCATCTGCTCTCCATCTGCTGCGCCTGGCCTTCTTGCACACCAAATTCATTTATTTTTCCAGTGTCACCAGTGTATACCATTCCACACAAAACAGTTACGGTTAACGTTAAACATACCTTCAGCCCCCGAGCCATGCTCAAGGCAACTTTGAAAATCGTGGCAGCAGGGAAAGGGCCCAACTGTTCCGCACTTCTTTCTTCAATTAAGTCACTGAGAGATTTTTCTCCTCCGTACTCCATGGCCAGACACATGCTTCCATCGTCGGCCTCGGTAAAAGCACGGTAACCTTCCAACACAGATTGATTTGTCAGACAGCCAAAGGAGGCACCAGCCTTGCCACGTGGCTTTCCAGCCCGACGGAGCCAGAGCATTTGGGGCTGCTACACCAGGGGCTTTCCAGGCGGCTCCAACCAACCCCAAACAAATTCACAGCTCGGGGAGGGGGGGGGGACACGACACCGGGCTCGCGGCTTTACGTGGCGCCACAGGAATGTCCGTGGAGACCCGTGCACCCCCGAGCAGGGACACGAGCCACTAAACCTGTCGAGGCAACGCAGAGCCCACGGGCACCCCGCTTTGTTGCTTCCCAGTTTTGCACCCCGGGCCAACGGCGGGGAGTTTTACCCCGATCTTTATGGGACAGAGGAGGGAGGAGAGCAGCAGCGGAGCCGCAGACCCGACATCTCCCATCGCAAAGATAAAGAAGCAAAACCAAGGGCTGGAGGACGTTTGGGAAAGCCAAACAGGGGCTGGTTCACAAGGTGAAGACTAACGTGCGTACACACTGTTACGTAATCTTTCTTCCTCCACGTTTCACTCCTGTCTGTAAACAGGTGGAGTGAGAAATGGCAAACTCTTGCATAACGGCATAGCTCAAGTCTTATCCCGTAAATGATTTACAGCACCTTGGACAAAAACAGCAGTGAAATGTTTGCAATGTGAAAGGCCGAGACTATTTTTGCTCTTAAATTCCTGCCAGAAGCAAGATACGCCGTTTTAGGGATACAAACAAAGTTCCTTGCACGCAGCATTTCGAATACGAGTGACCGCACCGAAATAGTTGAAAGCACAAATAAAAGAAAAAAGTCAAACAAAGTTGCTGTTCTGACTGGCAGGAGAGATTTTGGACAAGATGGGAGCAGAAATGAAACACAGACTAAAGCAGCTTCTCAAGCTGAGAGCCAAGAGCGTGCCAGAGCCTCGATTGTCACTCAGAGAGATGTGTCATCGGGCTCCGGAGCCTTATTCCGCACACAGAAAACATCCCAAATCCCCCTAAGATATTGCCTGTCCTCTGCAAAGTTACGGTGGCCTCTCTCTTTCCTGAGGCCAGAAGCTGAAGCTGAGGTGCAGGAGGGGGTTTCTCCAGAACCAGCCCACGGCTCGGAGCCGCCTCACACCGCTCTCAACAGCCAGCGAAGCCCCAAGGGGCGTCTTCTGCCACCAACTGTCCTGCCCTGGCAGCCCAGGAGCGCTTCCAAGTCTCCATCGTGAGGGGTAAGACTAAATTCATTTAAAAAAGTCCACCGTGAGCTTGACCAAAACCACAGGCAGCCCCAGCAACGCATCTCCGAAGCGTAAGGACGAGGCCAGAGACACCCCACTGCAGCCTCGTGTCCCGTCACCCGGCTCCAACAGCTTGATTTGCAATTTATGCCACGCAGGCTCTGCTGGAAACTTACCCACGATATTTGGGTGCTGGAGGTTTTTCAAGATCTTGGCTTCTTCCTTCAGTCTCTGCTGATAGATGTTTTGCCCGCCCCTGTTGCATTTGGAATTAATTTTCTTCACAGCCCACGGGGAGTGAGACAAACCCCTGGGAGATCTGCAGGGGAGAACCCACGCGTGTCAGAACCGCTCCGTTTGTAAGCAGCGCCACGGTTAAAGCTCGCACAGGTCACTGAGGAGCTCTTCTAGAGACCTTCGGCCTTTATTTTGTGGAATTAATAAAGAGCAATGCTAAAATAATCTAAAGTGCGCTAACGCGCGCACCGCAAAGGGGCATAGTAATGCTTTGCCCGGATACAGTGCTCCTCCATCAAGTTTTCAAGCATTTTAGAAAAGATTTGTATCAATTCTTATTTTCAGGTGGAAAAGCTGAGGCTCGGGAGGGGAGCAGCTTGCCCAGGAGGCCACAGCAGAGCCAGGAACGGGCCCCAAATACCTGAATTCCAGGCTGGGGAAAGGCTGATGGGATTATTCCCAAACGATGGGCTCCTTCCCAGCACCAACACCTCCAGCACAGCCGGGAAAGCTGGAAACCTCACCCCCCTTCCTCGACTCCGTGCCCATCTGAAGGGGCGCGGGCAGCATCTGCAGGTTGGTGACAGCAGCGCTTTCTTGCTCAGAGCTCAATCACTTTCCGTCCCCTATTTGATTTTAGGGGGGGGGGGGGGGGGGGAAAAAAAAAAAAAAAGCCAAGCCCCGTTCCTGAGCACCCCATCACGTCTGCGCCCTCGCACGTACCTTTTCATCAAGTAGACGTTGACCCCGGTGCCATACCCAAGCTTCTGCATGAAGGGAGAGGCTGGGATAGTGACAGACACTGTCCCCCCATCTGTAAAAAAAAAAAAAAAAAAAAAAGAAGTAGAAACCCAGTCCTGCTGTTTCAGGTCTGCGTGGCAAGGGTTTGGTAATGGGGGGTACAGGGGTGGCTTCGGGGAGAAGCTGCCAGAAGGTTCCGTGGGTCTGACGGAGCCAATGCCAGCGGCTCCGTGACCCCCCCAGCGGCGATGGTGGTGGCACCTCTGGGATAATGTACTGAAAAAAAAAAAATAAAAAGGGGGGAAAAAAAAAACAAACTTCGGCTGGCAAAGAGGAGTGAGAAGATGTGAGGGCAACAACCCTGCGGGCAGCAGGGTCGGGGAAGGAGGAGGGCGCCCGAGCAGAGATTCCCCTGCGGCCCGTGATGAAGACCGTGGGGAGGCAGGCTGTGCCCTGCACCCAGGGAGGGCCGTGGGGGAGCAGATCCCCACCTGCAGCCCACGGGGGACCCCACGCCGGAGCAGGGGGTGGCCCCAAGGGGGCTGTGACCCCGTGGGGAGCCCACGCCGGAGCAGGGGGTGGCCCCAAGGGGGCTGTGACCCCGTGGGGACCCCACGCCGGAGCAGGGGGTGGCCCCAAGGGGGCTGTGACCCCGTGGGGAGCCCACGCCGGAGCAGGGGAGGAGTGTGAGGAGTCCTCCCCGTGAGGAGGAAGGAGCCGCAGAGACAAGGGGTGAAGAGCTGACCCCAAGCCCCAGCCCCCTGTGCTGCTGGGGGGGAGGAGGGAGAGAAAGCAGGAGTGATTTAGACCCCAGGACGAAAGGAGCGGGGGGGCGGGGAAGGGGTTTTAACATTTCATTTTTATTTCTCGTTCCCCTACTCTGATTTAATTGGCGATCGATTAAATTAATTTCCCCGAGTCGAGTCTGCTTCCCCCGTGACGGTGATTGCTGAGTGATCTCCCCGTCCTCACCTCAACCCACGAGCCCTCGGTGATATTTTCTCTCCCCGGTGCAGCTGAGGAGGGGGGTGACAGGGTGGCTTTGGGGGGCACCCGGCACCCCCCCCACCAATGACCCCGCGCAGCCGACCAGGCAGCAGCTTCTCACTAGGAGCTCTGGCGCCCCAATTACAAATCACATTTATGATTCTACCGTACGCACTGGGCTATGTGCAGGAGGAGGTTTGGATTTTTCGAAAAGCTCTTTTCCAAACTCCCTTTTCCCCCCTCAATACCTCAGCAAATTCATCCTCCACCGGGCTGGCACTACCACCCCCATTAGGTTCCTCACCCAGGATAACTCCCTATGAAATGTCGTGCAAGTTTTATGCTCGAGCCTGAGCTTAGACACAGATTTTTTTTGGTTCCTAACGACTCTCCGGGCTCAGCAACTGGACTCGAATCAATTTTCCTCGCAGCAGCTTGTACTGGGTTTTGGATTTCTGATGAAAACGGCGTTGTGAGGACACAGGGATGGGTTTAGCCGTCACTCAGCGTCGAGGCTTTTTCCGCTTTTCCCGCTGCTCTGCCAGTGAGTCGGGAGGGAACAGGATGGGACAACTGACCCCAGCTGACAAGAGGGACGTTCCCGACCCTACGGCGTTGTGCTCAGCCACAAAGCACGCCCCCCACCCCGACAAGGCCGGGTTAACACCCGTCTCCTCCCCACAGCAAAGCGTTCCGTTTCCCCGCCAGCCCCTCCGGAAATATTTAGGGCTCGCGCCCGAATGCGGCTCACCGGGTTTCTCCCTGGGGGGCAGGTTGTTTTGAGACCTGAAGGTTTCCATCTCTTCAAACCGTCCCGATCCCCTACGGCAGAAAAGAGATTTCATTACCTCTCTACCCCCCAAAATATCGGAGGAAACCGCTCAGAAGCACGAGTTGCTCCGGGCTCAAGCTCTAACCCACGCGGGGCCATTATAGGTACCACAATAATATATTAAAGGACAGAAATGACATAAATTACACCCGTTGGGAGTTTCCAACTGCTAATTTGCTGCTGGCTCTGCTCAGCCAGTGGGTTGACAGCGAAGCAGGGACGTGCCCTCCAGCTCCCCGGGCTCCCTCCTGCCCCAGGGTCACCCTGCAGCTTCTCACCATTAAATTATTTTTAATTTTTAATTTTAAACAAGCCCAGGGTTTTCTCTCGGTTTGTTTGTTATGAACAGCCGAGTTGGGCCATCACCTCAGTGAGTGGCAGAGCTCAAAAACATCCTCTCTATATACAACTTGATATTTATCAAAAGAAATTCTCGGTGTTTTTCCATGAACCCTCGGATTTCTGTTTTTCAGTGGTTTCAAAAATCCAGTATATCCTCCTGTCTCAGCTGATTCTTACTGTCTCGTCTCAGTTCCTTTTCTGAAGTCAGCGGTCGCGGGCAGAAAGTTCTTTGGTCGCCACACTCACTGTTCTTATTATCCACCAAAGATCACCTTTGAACTTCTGAGAATTATTCAAGCTGTTCTAATAATTCCCACTTAATCTACGTCTAGTCTAGCGTAGCTAATTTTTCAACATTGCGTACTCTAAAAATTAATTCTCAGCTTTTAACTACTCTTATTAATTAATTACTCTTATATTATCTTCTAACTACTCTTACCTTATTAATTAATTACTCTTATCTTACTCTCAAGTCATAAACCCAAGAGGCATGATTCTTTTTCTGCTGATCCAGCGGGACTGAGTTGTAAATCAGCCCCGGCAAGGGCTGTCCAGGGGACAAACGAGCAGCTTACGCTTATTGTTTCACGGAGCACCTGCCTGCTGTTAATCCTACCCTAAAACCCTTCCTAATCGTTAATTATAAGTTCAAAATCACCGAGGTTTAAGGCCTGGCTGCCCGTTTCGGTCCCCGCGGGGCTGACACCCCGGGGCCGGCTGGCAGAGGGGGAGGTGAACCCCGGAATGGGAGTCAGGGAAGAGCCCGGGACCAGTGGGGGGGGACACGGACACACACACACACACACACACACACGACGCGCGCGCACACGACGCGCACACACCACGCGCACACACGACGCGCACACACCACACGCACACACCACACGCACGACACACACGACGCACACACACGACGCACACACACGACGCACACACACACACCACACACACACACCACACACACCACACACACACGACACACACACACGACACACACACACGACACACACACACGACACACACACACGACACACACACACGACACACACACACGACACACACACACGACACACACACACGACACACACACACGACACACACACACGACACACACACACGACACACACACACGACACACACACACGACACACACACACGACACACACACACGACACACACACACGACACACACACACGACACACACACACGACACACACACACGACACACACACACGACACACACACACGACACACACACACGACACACACACACGACACACACACACGACACACACACACGACACACACACACGACACACACACACGACACACACACACGACACACACACACGACACACACACACGACACACACACACGACACACACACACGACACACACACACGACACACACACACGACACACACACACGACACACACACACGACACACACACACGACACACACACACGACACACACACACGACACACACACACGACACACACACACGACACACACACACGACACACACACACGACACACACACACGACACACACACACGACACACACACACGACACACACACACGACACACACACACGACACACACACACGACACACACACACGACACACACACACGACACACACACACGACACACACACACGACACACACACACGACACACACACACGACACACACACACGACACACACACACGACACACACACACGACACACACACACGACACACACACACGACACACACACACGACACACACACACGACACACACACACGACACACACACACGACACACACACACGACACACACACACGACACACACACACGACACACACACACGACACACACACACGACACACACACACGACACACACACGACACACACACGACACACACACACGACACACACACACGACACACACACACGACACACACACACGACACACACACACGACACACACACACGACACACACACACGACACACACACACGACACACACACACGACACACACACGACACACACACACGACACACACACACGACACACACACACGACACACACACACGACACACACACACGACACACACACACGACACACACACACGACACACACACACGACACACACACACGACACACACACACGACACACACACACGACACACACACGACACACACACACACGACACACACGACACACACACACGACACACACACACGACACACACACACGACACACACACACGACACACACACACGACACACACACACGACACACACACACGACACACACACGACACACACACACCACAGACACACACACGACACACACACACGACACACACACACACGACACACACACGACACACACACACGACACACACACACACGACACACACACACACGACACACACACACACGACACACACACACACGACACACACACACACGACACACACACACACGACACACACACACACACACACACACACGACACACACACACGCGTGTCCCCAGGCTGCTCCCACCAGAACAGGGCTCCCCCCCCCCCCCCAGGAGGGGACAGGGGAAGGACTGAGGGTCCCATTGGGGTGACGGAGGGGACCCCACGTTGGGGGCAGGTAGGAGCGTTGGGTGCTATCTCTGGGGGGGGGGGGGGTCCCAGACTTGGGGGGGGGGAAGGACTCCTGGGTCCCTCTTCTGGGTGTGTGGGAGGGGGGGACAGGACTGCTGGGTGGCATCTCTGGGGGTGGGGGTCCCGTATGAGGGGGGGGGGGGTGGGGGGGGGAAGGACTCCTGGGTCCCACTTCTGGGTGTGGGGTGGGGGGTGGGGGGGGGGGGGGAGAGGACTGCTGGGTGGCATCTCTGGGGGTGGGGGTCCCATATGAGGGGGGGTGGGGGAAGGACTCCTGGGTCCCACTTCTGGGTGTGGGGTGGGGGGGGGGGGGGGGGGGAGAGGACTGCTGGGTGGCATCTCTGGGGGTGGGGGTCCCATATGAGGGGAGGGGGGGGGGAAGGACTCCTGGGTCCCACTCCTGGGCGTGATGGGAGGGGAAAAAAAAGTTCCAGACTGGGGGGGGGGGGGGGGGTGGAACAGGACTGGTGGGTGCCGTCTCTGGGGGTGATGGGGTGGGGGGCCAGACTTGGTGGGGGGAGTGGGGGGGAAGGACTCCCGGGTCCCAGCTCTGGGCGTGAGGGGTTAAGCCCCAGATTGGGGGGGGGGGGGGGGGGGATACAGGAGAGGGCTGCTGGGTGCCATCTCTGGGTGAGGGGGGGGGGCCAGGTTTTGGGGAGGGGGTGATGGAGCCCTCCCAGACCCCGCCTCAAGGGGGAAGGGGGGGCTCAAGCCAGACACCCCCCACCCCGGACCAACGATGGAGCCCAAACCCCCCCGGGGGTGTCCCGTTCCCCCCCCCCCCCCCATCCTGCGACCGTTACCTGCCGCCGCCGTTTGAATCCTGCGCGCGGGAACCCCGCCCCGCCCCGCCTCGCCCCGCCCCCCCCGCCTCGCCCCGCCCCCCCGCCTCGCCCCGCCCCCCCTCGGCTACGGCGGCCGCGGGCGGACAAAACACGGCGGAACGCGGAGGGGGGGGCGGAGTCAAGCCAGAGGGGCGGGGCTAAAGGGGGCCGGGCTCGTGGGGGTAGGGAGGAGTTTCGGGTCGGTCTCGAGGGGTCCCTAAATTGTTTTTTGGGGGGGGGGGGGGTGTTGAGGGGAGCGCAAGGGTCCCCAAGTGCTTTTTTGGGGAGGGTCAGTTGGGGGTTCCCCAAGGCTTTGGGGGGGGGGGCGGCAGCTGTGAGGGGGTTCCTGAGGCTTTGGGGCAACAGGGTGTTTGGGGGGGGGGGGGTGTCTCTATGGGGTACCCAAGCCCTTTGGGGAGGGTTGCGTGGGGACCTCAAGCCTTTGGGGGGGGGGGGGATGTCTTTGGAGTGCAGCAGGGTCCCCAAAATCTTGGGGGGAGGGGGGGGCGCTCTGTGGGGTCCCCAAGCCCTTGGTGGGGGGCTCTGTAGGGTCCCCCAAACCTTTTAAGGGCGGGGGTTGTAGGGTCCCAATGCTGTTGGGAGGGACTCTGGGGGTCCCTGGGGTCCCCAAACCCTTGGCAGGGTCTCCACGGGGTCTCCAAGCCTTTGGGGGACCTCAGGGGGGTTCCCAAAGCCTCTTGGGGGGGGGGGGTGTCTCCATGGCATTGCCAACCCCAGATCATGGCCAAGGTGGGGGGTGGGGTGTGTCTGGGGTTCAGCAGAGATTCCAAGCCCTTGGGGGGGGGGTCTCCATGGGATCCTCAAGCCCTTGGGGTGATTCCAAGGGGGACCCCCAGGCCTTGGGGGGAATGTTTCTGGGGGGCCCTGAAGCCCTTGTGGGGGATGTCTCTGGGGAGGGGTCCCCAAACCCTTGGGGGGATGTTTCTGGGGGGCCCCAAAGACCTTATGTGGGGTGTCTATTGGGGTGGGGGGTGTCCCCAAACCTTTGGGGAAACATTTCTGGGGGGCCTTGAAGAACTTGTGGGGTCTCTTGGGGGGGCGGGGAGGTGTCCCCAAAAGGTTGGGGGGATGTTTCTAGGGGGCCTCGAACCCCGTGGGGGGGGTCTTTCTGTGGGTGGGCTTGGGGGGGGCTCAGGCATCTCAGGGTGCTCTGTACCCCCACCCAGCACACAGGGGCTTCTCGAAGCAGGGCTGAGCCAGCTCCGGGGTCTGTATTCACGCCCCCCTCCCCCAGTGCACCCCCCCCCAAGACCCCCCATGAAACCCCATCGCTCTTTAAACCCCCCCCTCCCCCCCCACCTCCCCTCTCCGAGCACGCCTGCGCCGGCGCGTAGAGAATAATAAAAAAGCATTTATTTCTCTAATAATAAAACCATTTCAGGAAGCACGGGGGAGATCCGCGGGGTGGGCTGATTCCCCCCCCCCAAGACCCCCGCAGCCAGACTGGGGGTCTTCCTCCCCCCCCTCCCCATCACCCCCCCCCATCACGGCGTCAGGCATTTCACGCCAGCGTCCTCGGCGTGGCCGCAGTTGGTCTTGCCCCAGCTGGAGAAGCTGCAGCGGAGCAGGCTCTCCTCTGTCCCCTTGCAGGAGACGTCGTCCATCCAGATCCTCCCCGTGCCTGCCAAAAAAAAAACCAAAAAAAAACCAAAAAAAAAAAAACCAAAACAAAAACACAGGGACCTGGTGAGCGGCACCGGCACCTCGGTGGATCCCCTCCAACCAAGGGACATGTCTGTCACTGCACTGCCAGGATAAAGCAGGAATCATTCCAGCCCTTCTCGAACAGAAGGCTTCATCCCTTCTGAAAATTCCCTCTCTTAACTATTGTATCGATCCTTCTTTATAGTAAAATCTATTCACTTTGTTATATATATATATATATATATAATATATGTTAGTTCACATTATACACTGTAATGTAAACAGGTAGTGGAGTTTTACTGTAGATTTTTATATTTTTCCTGCTTAAGTAAAACAAACAGAAGGGCTGGAAATAAGGATTTTGCTTCTTGGAAGGTCCAGGCTGCCCAGGGAGGATGAAGGATGCCCCCGGACAACCGGGATAACGGCAGCATCCTGTAGCCTCCCCAACACAGCTCTGAGACCTTCCCAGCATCGTCCGGTGTCGGAGATCAGGAATTTGAGCAAGACCGGCTGCCGGGACGTCTGGATCAACAGGCAAGCGGCAAAAATACTGCAAAAATAGAGTTGCTTTGCAAAGTTCTCCTGTGATTAGTCGTCAGTAACGTGGGTGTTAGTGATTAGTCCAGTCGGGGTGTACCTGAATGCTTAAAGGGGGGAAGAACCCCATTTCAAACCACAGTCGGGTGCCCCAATTTGGCTGGGCCACCCCCCGTGCCGGAAGAAATAGCGACTGTTATGAATTGAGGCTTTGCATCCCGGCTTTTCTCCTCGGTTAGCACGAATTTTCGTGACACATCCTAAATCCCCATCGCTGCAAACCACCATCTGTGGCTGCAGGATGGGGGGGTCCGTCCACCAGCCCAAGCCCCC